AATCCCAACAGATTGCCTCCCATTCCATCCAAATCAACCCATGAATCTGGAGAATCATCTTCAATGGATCCGGAGCTGGCGAAAGCAGGAAGAAAAGGGCAAGAAGAATACAGCTGATACCGTAGTCCCCCATCGATTTGATGTCCTCTTCGGACGGGGACGTCATACCACAAATCACACGGGCAATGTGAGAGCTGCACATATCGCAGACATGTTTCGAGACAAATATGAGGCTGCTGGGAAGTATGGAAAGACAGCAATTGCTGAACGTATTGTCACAATTATCCAAGAATCGCATGGTCGGTTTTTGAAGTGGGAAGATGACACATGGGAAGAAGTGGACCAACAAACTGCGAGGAATAAGGTATGTACAAGTTGAATTGCATTCTTGGCGCAGAGATATGATTTTTGTGATCTTTCTCACCCGTTCGTTGCTTGTAGATTTCCCACTTTTATCGAAACACGCGCAACAAAGGTGGCCCCAGCAAAAGCAAGGTATCCCCATCTGACGGCTCGGCTAGTTGTGGAGTGACCAGCTCAGAGGGAGAGTCGCTGGCGTCAGTTTTGTCCAAGAGAACACACTCAGATTCACTGCAACAATTACCACAGCGAATTCAGAAACGGCACCAACGGGACGACTAACTCAAGGGGTTGTCAAAGATTGGGACTTTGGATTCCGGGATGTCAGTGGATGTAATGCTGCTTCTCTGTGGGAGCCAACCTCCAGTAATATACAGTGTGGCATGTTGGACATTGGAGCTTGTGTTTGTCCCAGTAAGACTGAGCATTCCTCTTGTTCGTTCGGTTACCTTGGTCTATGGCATCGCAAGCCGTCTCTTGGTATCCGTTATTGCGAGGTAAGCCGTAGTGCAAACGGGTACCGGTGTGTTTCGGTGGGCCTCAGAGCTGCAACGAGGCAGGCTTTGCACCCACCGCTTTGCACCCACGCAGCCAAGGCTTTGCACAATCCAGTATGGCTGGAGGATCCGAGATTCTCTACGAGGCGTTGCTGGTTTGTCTCTGGCAAACGTCATGAAGACTTTCGTTGCTCCCAGACAAGCTCACACCAATGCAACACTGTGCCGTCTTCAATCCTCCCCACCTGATAGCCAAGTACGTAGAGGTTGCCCTGGATATATCGTGATCCCGATGTAGGCCAGCTCAATTGTTCAGAAGTGCAAACTGGAAACCAATAAGTTAAGCCTCCATAGACAAGCCCCTGCTCAGTCATGAGAAATAAGTACTACTACCAGGTAGTAAGTAGATACGTTAAGGAGCGAGGGGGGCTAAGCTAGGCAGCGCATGCAGTGGTCGCACTCATTGGGTGAGAGTGTGGGGGTGCTGGTACCATAAGTGGCTGGTTTCAGAGTTGACCTTTTGGATGCAAACAACGTCCTAAGCGTGACTTGACTCGACTCGACTCGACTCGAGCACGCCATTCTTCATTGAGTGACTCATCAACCTGCTTGGAAGAAGCCGGACCAACGGGGGTTTACCGGATAGAACCGGCACAAGCAATAGGGACCTTCCTTCAATCTGTGCCTATGTATTTACCTCAGGACTTGAAAGCATGATGAGAGCTCGCTTTGGCGCCTCTCTATTTGTCCTTGTAGCTATGGAGGCACCATGGAGGGTCAGTGCTTTTTTGGTGGGTCGCTCCAATGGTGTTCTTCGTCGGAATCCATTGGCATTGAGGAAGACAGCGTCCTCCAAAGAAGACGAAGAGCTCGACAACTCGATGGACCAGAGGAGAGAAGCTGTATACATTGGCGATTCTTCGACGTTTCCCCTCCTTACTTCTCTGAATGACAATCCACTGCTGAATCCAGATGGGGGCGAATTGAAATCTATGTGCCGAGATGGTGATGAAGCCGTCGAAGATTCTGCACTTGCTCCAGCACTGCTAGCCCTGGCTGGATGTACATATGCCCTTTCTTCCGCGACTCTGTGGATGCTGTACCACTTTGAATGGTTCCAAATGTGGAGGTATCTATGGCCTCTCGTTGGCTTGCTCTATGCCACCGACTCTGCAAGTTCTTTGTTGGGTCGAAATAAGCCACCAGATTCTGGTCAGCCGTGGCCATTGCTGTCAATCCCAAGCGACAGCAGCAAAATACCAGTTCCGGTAAGGATGCTATCTGGAGTGGCGGGGGTGGGTCTTTTGGTGGGAGGTGCCTACGATGCCTGGATGCCCGTGTGGGAAACAGGACCCAACGTTTTCACGGCTGCAGGAATTGGTCAGGATTCGGCCATGATCTTGTGGATCATAACGGCGGCATTGGCAGTGAGACGACCACCCAAGGAATTCGCTGGAAGATACTTTTGGACCTACGTGGTGTTGTTGTCACAGCTCTACATTCTTGGGGATTCAGCTTTCGACGAGGTCGTTTCCACCGTCATGGAGTTGCAATGAACTGGTTGAATTGAAACGGCGTAGCATTGTTTGTTTATTCTATTGATTGAACTGGTCATGCAAACACCTCCGTCCGACGACACGACACACCACCAACACTACAATCAACATGCGCCAACGCTTGGCGTCTCCAGCTTCCTTCTAATGGAAGCACTAGGGTACAGTGGTCCGTTGGCGGCAACGGCAACAGAAATCGTAGCCCGGAGGGTTTCGTGAGGTGAATACCGGCGTCAATTTCAACAGCTCACCATGGAACAAGTCTGTTTGCATCTGATTGAGCAAACGTCAAGGGAAATGTGGGCAGACAACGCCAAACCTCGGGCACTGCAGCATTTGCACCATGGCAACGTGAGGCAGCGCGCACCTGGGACGCCTTTTGAAGGACGCAAGGAATTGCCAATGGTGCTTTTGGCTCCGTCCCAAAAACACTGTGAAGATCCGAAGAAGTTGAAAGCTGCTCTCAGGAATATATCATATATAATACGTATAATATGTATGATACAGGCGATGTGCCTTGTTAAAGTCCCAGGAAGCCAGAGGCACCCCAATTTTGCCAGATGCCGCTCATACATGGTACTATCTATGCTTTTGCTCGCACAGCCTACAATAACCAGGATGGAGACTCACCTTGGCGCTCTCAATGACGGTGCCACATATGATGTAAGCAATGAGGAATGGATGCCCTCCTCTATCAAGCTCAATGTAGCAACATCTCTTGTGAATGATACACCATTTGAGATTGATATTATGTCAACACTTGGCCACTCAAATCCTGACAAAACGAACGTATACTGGCTGCCTAGCAAATACAACAAAAAAGATAGGAAGTTTATTGCTGAGGAATTGATGCCCTTATTTGCAGCATCATGCCAACAATCTGGCTTTGCTGTTATCAACCTGAGATATGACAAGAGAAGAGACTACCTATCCGTAGGATGTCCCAGGCACAGATACTTTCGAGAATCTGGCAAGAAGATTGCAAGAAAGACTACTAATAGAGAGATTACAGCTCAAACACAGCTACATATTCGAGGGAAAGACAAGACTTGCCCATTTCACTTCAATGTCTACTTTGATTCTGCTAAAAGTCGATGGTACTTACCGACAAAACAAGGTGGCAACAGCAAACACATTGGTCACCCCGAGCTCTCTTCAGACCAAGTAAGAGTTCGGAGTAAACATATTGTGGTGGGAGACAATAACGGCAATGACAGTGACAGGGAAATCAAACGTTGTCTGAAAGCAAAAGGTGCATATGAATACTTCTTACCATTATATACCGAGATCACAAAGTCAATCACCTCAGTAGAAGACTGGAGAATCTTTCGAGATGGGCTTCATCAAGCCCACACCAACATTCTACAGAGGAACAGCCAACAATCACATAAACAATCAACTGAAGCTGCCACAGCAGCATCACATAGCCAATCATCAATGGCTAGCCTCCCAATGATTGACACAAGCTCAAAGGATCAAAGACAAAGTCCAGCAACAAGTCCGGCCAAATCGCAGCCATCATCACCATAGAACTTTAGTGATCTTTGCACGAACTTTTGTTGGCTCTGGTGCTCTTCTTTGGTTCATATTCATGGCCCTCTGATGGTGGTAGGCTTGTAGCCCTGGTCTCTAGTAGTAGTTAGAGCCAGGCTACTATTAAATAGCTAGCTAGCTATTAGAGGTACCACTATTAAACTAGTAGCCTCCTCTTCATTGTTGTCATCTTTTAGTCTTGGGATCAAATCATGTTAAGTCTTTGAATCTATGCTTTAGCTAGAAATCTATTAAGTATCCGCGAGTTAATACCTTTGACATCGTCACCATGATGCGATGATTTGATTGGCTGCAGTTTCATGATCCACCGATCCGTTTTGGGAATGGTGTCAAGCTTCACAATGAGCTTCCCACCTCTGGCTCGCTCAGCCCATTATTTCCGAGCCATCAAGAGAGAGGCTACCATATATCTATCTTTGACGGTGTCTTTTGCTAGCTAGTTATTATCTGTACTACAATGAGAATTCTTGTGGGCGTCAAGCGAGTGGTGGACTATGCCGTCAAGGTCCGTGTCCAGAACAACACGGTGGATTTGAGCAATGTGAAAATGTCGTTGAATCCGTTTTGTGAAATTGCGGTCGAAGAAGCCGTTCGATTGAAGGAGAAGAAGGCAGCGGATGAAGTAGTGGCTGTCAGTGTGGGACCCAAGCAATGCACGGAAACATTGAGAACAGCGTTGGCCATGGGATGCGATCGTGCGATTCATATCCAGACGGACAGGCGAACCGATTATGTCGATTTGCAGCCGTTTGCCGTGGCGCACTTGTTTCAAAAGGTGGTGGAACAAGAAGAGGCCGATTTGGTCTTGCTGGGCAAACAGGGCATTGATTCGGATTGTGGACAGACTGGTCCCATGCTTGCTGGATTGTTGGGATGGCCACAGGTTACGTTTGCTGCCAAAATGGATTTAGAAGGCGATGGAATGATGGTGGAACGAGAAACCGATGCTGGAACCGAAACCATTAAAATCCCTTCCTTACCAGCCGTCGTCACGTGCGATTTGCGTCTCAACGAACCACGCTATGCTACCCTGCCCAATATCATGAAGGCCAAAAAGAAAAAGGTCGATACCATTGCCGCGGATGACTTGGGCGTCGATCTAGAGCCCCACAACCCAGTCCTCGATATTTTTGAACCACCACCCAGAAAGGAGGGAATTACCGTAGAATCTGTGGATGATTTGTTGGATAAATTGCGCAACGAAGCCAAGGTTCTCAAGTAATAAAACAAAAGAGGAAGAGGTTACTTATACCAGGTGGTAAAAAATGGAATTCCCCATCTTTTCCTGCGGATTCGATTCATTCCATTCTCTAACACCACAACCAACTAAAAGAAACAACAATTTTCCACGTTTCTGATTTCGTCATTCATCCTTTCGTTCTCTTTGTCAATGTTTTTTTCAGGCCTGTGGCGAGAGACGACGGCCCTTTCGGAATTCATCTCCGCTTGATTTAGAAATGCAGGTGCCAAATGTGCTGTTGGTTTTCGATCCTCGCTACTTGAATTCGTCTCTGCCGATGCATCGACAAGGCCAACACAGAGCAAACACTTTTCCGATTTGCTTTGCACCAAATCACTTTTTTTCGCACAGTTCCATGCAAGGTTTCATGGTACGGTTTCTGACAATAAAACCATGAGACCATTGCTAATCAATGTGCAGGCAACTGTCACTCACTTTTCGAAAAGTCGAGTCTCTCCATTATTGAAGACCCAATCCTGTGGCTTCTCAGCTCGATTCCAGGGGGGGGGCTTTCAAAACTGTCCCGGGGCCATACGTGTACATCCCTTGGTACCAAGAGAAGACGAGGTAGAGCCATGTGGCGTGGATCCCTGGAGGGGACCCGAGAACTATGTGTTGGCTTTAAAACGTTTTCTTTCACCCTGTTGCTGTTTGGTCACTCAGGCTCAATCACCATTATTTTATGAGCCCTAGTTGAGGAGGCAGCACAATGTGTTGATCAAGCATTGGAGTGACAACAAAATCAAGGGTTTCCATGAAGATGGAGGAGCAATTGCACGCAAATAAAGATCTGATTTTGTTGGAAAGCTGACTGTGAGGTTCCTTCAGCTTTGCAATAGTCCTTCCATTCCAAACAACCGGCAGTGATGATGCGCCTCCCCTGCTACAAAACCTAGAGTATGGAACACATGCCAATGGTGGACGCAGCCCTGAAGTAACATCCTTGCGGCAATGGTGTCATGGGTTGATAGCAAGGATAAGGCGTAAAAATGGGCTCGGGGTGTGTTTTTGATGTGAGCTACCAGGTACCTACTAGTGGATGCTGTGACCTCCTTGGCGGCTTCTTCATGGTCCCGATGCGGCCAGCTAGAAAAAAAGCATGTCTAGGTTCGTGGTGGGGTGATTTCATTAGGATTGCAGTTTCTGTGACAAACAGACGCAGCTGCATTTAGCAAGTTACCAAGCTTGCAGGAAGGAAGGAATCTTGGAACTAGACTACGCACATCTATCAATTCTATTTTGAGTGGGTACCGGCAGCTTGATACCGTACGGTACTGCTGTTGGAATGTGCTGCTTGCATTATCACCCCAAAAAACATAGAGTTTGCCCCAAGCTAGCTAGCTAGAGCGCATTCCAGGAATGCCGGGCTTGGGGGGGGGGGCTGAATGCCCCCTTGCCACCTGAGCCAAACTAAATTGTGAGGAGAGGAGATGAAAAAGATGCTCAGAGAGTACTATTAATAGCTGGTAGCTTGGATGATCCATTGGGCTTTGTGATAATACGGTAGTTCTCTCAAATCTAGCGCAAAACCAGCAACAACTTATTGGTTGCCGCACTTTAGAGTCACAATGGGGAGAAGGCAAAGAAAAGCATTAACACGAGGCTTGAATAGCGCCAAGCATTTACTCGTTTCTACGGGAAACTCTATGTATACCAGAAAGCTCTGACGCTTGGTCACGCGCCATTAGGCATTTCAGTTCTTGGGTACGTAAGCTGTTAGTAGTAGCTACCCTGCAAGATCCATGCGCCAAGATCCAAGAGATCACCTTCACCTGCTCCGAGTTACCCAAAGCGATATCTCGCGATCCATGGATGACACTTTGCTAACCTTCCTTTGCAAGGTTGTCGTGGCCATGCACTAATACCGTTGCAGTTTTGCCTCTTTTGCTACTGTCGACGAATTGCTGTGGCTATCCATGTGAGCTGCCATCTGAAGCTTGTATATGTTAGGTTAACCTTACTTTGTCCAAGCCAAGAGATTGATTTATTGATACCCTCTGAATCGAATCCTATTTTCACACCACAACCTTTGACAAGATGGCGGATCGCGATAACTTCACAGAGGAAGACCTTCGCCGAGGCAGTGGCACCGAGTTTTTGGGAGCCGTTGGTCAAGCGCTCATGAACAGTGATGGGCATGTCTCTCTGGTAGATGAGACTTCTGATCACGTGGATGCCGACGAAATCAATCTAGCAGCATCTAGCAACATGAGGAGCAACAATAGTCGATCCCCCCGATCCGCTGGCCGTACGCAATCCTCTCGCTCTCGCTCCCCCACTCGCAAGGGCGGCGTTCCAAAAGCAAACTCGGGAACGACGACATGGCGTCGCAATGTCAGTCGCCCCAATTTTGAACGAACCGCCGTGGCTCCTACCCGGAAAACTCCGGGACGAAACATGAGTGGTAGTGGACGCCATCACGGTACCAATCGTCACAGTTCCTTTGTACGGCATTACTCGGATGACGATGACGATAAAGACAATGATTTATTGGACAGTGATGATGATCTTTTGGAAGATGATGATTTTGATGTCTCGGCGCGCGAAGATTCGTCGCAGTCGGACAAATCCCTCAATACCATCAAGGAGCAAGCTAGTATTCGAGGTAGTAGTACCAGTAAAGCAAGCACCAGTGGTGGCCGTGGTGGTGGTCGTGATAGTGATCGAAAAAGCTTGTGGAAGAGTCGAGAAGGTGTTGTGGATCAATCGGTCAACTTGATGGATGCCGAAACGGGTCAGTATCAGCACAAAAAGAAAAAGGGAGGCAGCAAACGCGGAGCTGGCCTGGGATTCCGACAAAAGAGTTTAGTCGATATCTTCTTGCACGATGATACCGAACGTAGTTCCAAAGTCTGGGGTATTGACAGTTTCAATGGTGACCCCAACAAGGATTACTATGACGATGATCGATCTCGAGCGACACGATGGATCATTTGCATCGTCTTGTTTCTCATGGTATTGACAGCTTTCATCATTGTGCCTGACTTTGGACTGATTGACCTTGTTTCTTCCGACAGTGACGAACAGGAATCTACTCCTGTCACCCCTGCACCCACGTCTTTGGCACCGACACCCTCTCCGGTGGCGCCGGAAGCTCCAGAAGAAGAAGAGGAAGAAGAGACTGCACCAACCGAAGCTGAAGCAGCCAACCTGGAACCTCCTGAGGAACCTGAAGCAGAAGAGCAGCCACTTGTGGTCAACACGGAACAAGAAGAAGGAGGAACCTCCTTGTTGGATGTGATTCGTCCCAATGAGGAACCAATCGCCGTGATTGCTCCTGAAACCCCTCCACCAGAGGCCACCACATCTCCGTTTCCGCCTCGCAGCAGCAACGAACAGCAGCTCGAGTTCCTAGTCATTGATCAAGATGTTTCCAATCCCGAAGACTTTCAAGATCCCGAGTCGCCACAGAGCAAAGCCCTGAGTTGGATCGTGAGTCAAGATCCAGCCAAGTTGCCAGTTCCGGGGGCCGAAGGTGTTAAGGTCGACAATGTTCAACAAGCCAAACGACAATTGATGCAACGATACGCCCTCGCCGTCTTTTACTTTGCCATGGAAACGGGAGTCGAAGGAGGAAACCAACAGCAAGGACAGCGTCTTCTTCGTCAGCAGCAGAGGGACGCGAGTAGTAGTCGGCATTTGGAGTCCAACGAACAGCGGGACAACCGTCGTCAGTTTGATATGGAATGGACGCGCGGAGCATCCGTGTGCGAATGGCCCGGAATCCAGTGTAACAACCAGCAAGAGGTTACTACTTTGGATGCCTCCAATTGCTTGCTGGCTGGTTCCTTGCCGCGAGAAATCTTTCGAGGGACCGCCATGCCAGCCTTGACAACGCTCGATTTATCGTACAATGAGTTGCAGGGGATACTACCATCCTTTGCTCCCAATATCAGCATGGGAAGAAGTTTTTCCGATGAGATGGGAAACAAGCTCGAGAAGCTCTACTTGCAACACAACTCAATCGAAGGAACTATTGAGCCATTGCTTGATCTGCCACATTTGACCTATGCCGATCTGTCAACGAATGGATTCACCGGTACCATCGCGAAAGCCTTTGGCACCCGACTGACTGAATTGGGTAAGTATACGCTGTTGTCGACTTGTCGTACAGAGAGAATTGCGTTTCATGCTCTCACTGTGTTCTCTTCTACTCATTGTCGTTCAAGACACATTTCATCTGGCAATGAACAATGTAGGAGGGACGCTACCCTCGGAACTGGCTTCTATGACGCGTTTAGGTGAGTCAACTTGATTGGATGGAGTGAGGTGGTTCTGTCATCGTTCTCATTGTTGTCGATCTCTTGCCCCGCTGTCCAATAGCCCGACTAGACTTGGAAGGAAACCAATTCACTGGGAGCATCCCGCCGTCATGGTCAAGACTGTCCAAACTGGAAGTGTTGACGTTGTCGCATTGCGATGAACTGGAAGGGACTATTCCGTCCGCATTGGCGAACATGCCTAGCATGAAGTATCTTAGTTTGCAGAAAACCAATCTGGAAGGACCGATTCCCTCCTTTCTGGGCGGTTTGACGCACTTGAGTAAGTACAAAACCGTGGCTGTGGGGACGTCTATCGCCGGTTTGATCCCAGCTAAGCTTGCCTTCTCATCATCCACAGAGGAACTCTATTTGCACAATACGAAACTGACGGGACAAATGCCGCGCGAGTTGTGTTCACTACGAGACGCCAATAGTCTTGAAGCGCTCACATCTGATTGTTCGGATATTGGAGGTGTTGCATGCGATTGTTGCACGGACTGTTTCTTTCGGTAGTTCGTAGATCGAGGCACCTAGCAACATGCGGTCTGGTGGTGTCTTGATCTGGACTTGCCTCCTAGAACTTGCAACATTATACAACAGTACATGGTACATAGTTAGTTTCCAATAAATGATTAAACGACTTGATCTGCCGAAGTCTTTGTTTCCCAACTTTGTTCTACATAACTAGTGCGGATCAAGGGCCGGGTGGAGACTGAATTGAATGAGTGCTGAAGGGCACATTGACAAGGGAAGTGAGGTGTTTCAAAGGTAGTATTCATGTACTTCTCAGCAGTGTGGGTCCTAATGTTGTCGGCCAAGCATGGGCTGTACATCACCAGAAATGAAAAATCCTACACCAGCAGCAACCCTGCGGGTCTCAGTCGCTTGGACATCCATTTTCGGCTAGAATCTGACGCTCTTATTAGTCCCCGAGCGCAAATGCTTAGCAGCATACCCAACAGCTTTCTTGAATGTTTCTTCATCCCAAGGACAGCAATTTGCACGGGCATACTTCATGATCTTCAAGTGGCCATATTTTGAAGCCAAATGACAACGTTTGCTCATCCCATGGACACCTATCATGGGCATATTTCAGTACATCTAAACGCCCCTTGGTTGCAGCATTGAGGCATGTGCATTCATCCCAAGGACACCCATTGTCATGAGCATGATTCAGCACATCCAAATGACCATTGAATGAGCGAGATAGAGAAAGAGAGATGAAGAGAGATGGTCCGAGGGACCTTCGGCGAATCAGTTTCTGTGGTTGGCATTCTCGCTCTACAAGGCCTTGCTACTGTCAACGCCAACGAAACTCAATACAACTCTCAAATTATGCGTTTCATCCAGACCCACATCTCAATAGCCACTCATTTATGTCTCGGTGGATCTCACAAAGCCAAGCCATTGGCCCCCGTGTGGGTCCTCGATTTATCTCACCTGATCCCACAGAACCTAGTCCCAAATTTGCCTCTTCTTTGCCTAAGCCTGGCTCTTGCTGGCTTCCGTAGATATCCTCCCTGCTCGAAGAACCCGTTTACGAAATCGTACCATACCGGTATGTGGAGGTGCCTTTGCTCTGGACAATCGAGCCTCGTGCTGCCGGTAGCTAGCGTGTTGTGACGTTGGCCGTGGAAGTTTTACTGTATCCTCAACCCTTCCATTTTGGCGTCAACCGAGACACCTCGATCAAAGATTCTCACAATAATTGCCTCTTTGGCCGTTTCATTCTCTGATTGGATACCTCACCATGGGCGGCATCAACTTACAGAACAGGGCCAAGACACCTCTATTGAAGAAAGCGTTGACTGACTGGCAGAATCGACTGCATCGTTGTCAAAGCCCCCACAAAGCTCAATGGAGACGAAAACAATGATCACGACTTCCCTACAGCTGCTTCTGTTGAGTTGGCTGTTGTCTCTCACGGTGATCCAAGGTCACTCTTGGCGGCACTTCGCCGTAACGAATCATCCGCTCTTTGGTGTGCAGAACGGGTAAGTCTAGGAAGTGCTGATTCTACGGGATACCGATATGCATACTTTCCTCTCCTTTAAACACGTTTTTGTTTCGTTGCAGAAATTTCCGTGCCTCTATCGGCAGCACTGTAGATGACGAAGACTATGAACGAGCGGAACGAGCCATCTTTCAAGGCATCCAAAAAGCAGAAAGAAAGGTTCTCAAGGCCATGGATGACAAGGTGCGCGTAGTGCTTGACAAGAGTACGGCCAAGGCAGTGCTCTCTCGAGTTTTGGATGCCGAAGAAGGTGATGAGCACCTCCTTCTCCAGGCATTGGAAGCTGCCGAACAGGCTGTCATTCTTGCTGTGGAAAAGGAGGTGGGAACGATATTTCATGCTTTGCATGAGGACAAAAAGCCATCGTCACAAGAAGATTCTGCTGCTGTCATCTATTCCTCTTCAAAGCCGGATAAACCTGTTTCTCAGCCTATGGCCCCTTCCAAAGCTACCCCGCCCAAAACTTTCTTCTTCAAATCGCCTGTGACCAAGGATGCCTCTGTCGAGGAGAAAGAGCTCGATCCATGGATGGAAGCTCTTGACAAACACAAACGAATGGACGAATTCCTCCAGTCTCTGGACTTGCAAGGCGTTGGTGGGAATGTTGGTGACTAGTAAAGGAGTGCAGGAGGACTGCAAAGCGAGGACTTGTTGCCGCGAGAAGGAAAGATTAGATACTACATGTAGCTATAGTAGTGTTTTGATGTAATAACATGATGTTAATTAATAATAGTGTAACAAGTATTATGTATTGTATTCTTTTAAAGGAAGAGGAAAGAAGGAGGGAGCCTATGCAATGATGGAAAACCTAATAGTAGGATCTGCGGGGCTGTCGTTGACCGATGGATCGTCGAGTGGATCCCGAATTGTGGCTGCTGTTACTGGAACGCCTTGGTGTATGAAGACCTTGCGCACCCTGCAATGTCAATCGCAATGACCACCAAATCACCATGGCCGTGGCATTGTCATTGCCAATCGTCTGATTGAGTGACGCCCACGCCGCACTGTCGGGGACACTTTCCGGGGCGTACGATACCAACAAGAGGGCATGCGTCAAATCTTGTGCGTGTGTTCCGTCCAATGTCTGAAGCTTTTTGCTCCATGGAGCTGTTTCTGGCGCAAAAGGAGCCATGGGAACGTTGGAATCGTCATTGAGAATCTGGAGGATTTCCGACGTCAAGACCCCCTTGGCCAGGAGTTGCTCTTCGTACGAGTCGACCCATGCCACCAACCGTCCCAAGGCAATGGCGCAATCGTCTCCGGCAAAGGCGGAACCTCGCAAATGCTCGGGCAACGTGCCTCGGTTGGCGGCACTGCTGGTGCTGCTAAAGAGAGGAGAAGTGAAACCAGCCTTGAGGGACTTGGGTTGTTGGGACTTGCTGATCATGCGTTTCAGCATGTTCTTGGAGGAAGACGAGCCATCACACTGACTGGGAGAGACGTTCGCCATGGCGGTAGAGATGCCCTGTTCGCCGTGAAGTGCAGTGGTGGTTCGATTCAAATGACTAAACAGCAACACGACCAGTGCGGCTTCGGCTCGACCCGAGCGAGAAAGACACGATGTTTGATTGTTCTGCCAGTTGCTGCTGCTGCCAAGTTCGTCTTGATCGTTCAAGAGGCGTTCGGCATATCGGAGCGCTTCGGCGTGAATGGCCATTTCAAAGGGATCGACAATCTTGTTCTTCTTGTTACTGCTATTGTTGGAAGAAGGCGTGGCGGCACCACTGTACTTGGAGTTGACCATCCACGAGATGGCTTCCTTGGTGGATGGAAACAGCGATCCTTCCACCAACATGATTTCTGCCAAGAAGGACCACAGACGAGGAAACAAATCGTCATTGACTGCGTGGAGTGTCAAGGGGTTTGTGGCTCCTTTGGCCATGGCAGGACTGGGAGAGAACTTTTTGATGGACTTGATCGTTTGGGAACATTTCTTGCTCATGGTGCGGCTGCTGCTGCTCTCGTGAGCGTGAAGGGGAGCTGAGGTTCGAGCGGTCATGGTGGCAATTCAATTCAATTCTGATGAGGAGATCAAGCAAGAAGATCTGTTGGAGAATTTAATTTGTGAGCTCTCTGGAGTTAGTTGCTTGTCAAGACAAAACTCTTTCCTCGGGAGTCAATCGGGATCTGTTGACAACAGCGATACCGGTAAGCACAATGTCTTGGACAGTTGCTGCGGTTCAATCCGCCCACGACCTTTGTTTAGGGCGCACTTGTAGCAGTCTTCTTCATTCACAGCAGCAGTGAACCCTCTAATTCCCAGTGATTGCCCCAAAATGTACTGTATACATATGAGTAAAATATTTGATCCAGCATGACTTCAAGAGCTCTGTATGAAAACTTCTGGAGAAGGAGGAATTAAAAGATTTCACAACAATAATTAAAGAAAACACCAGCATGACATTGAAATAACTAGAACATCCTTCTTCCGCACCTGAATGTTAAATCTGATGGAGGCATGAGTGCTCTTAGATGCCTTCCCTCAATCTTGGGGACATGACTGTGGCTCTGTGTACTTAATCGGACCACCAAGTCATCGTGGGGTCCTAAAGCTGTACCGGTACCGGTACAATAGGCCGTAAGTGGAGAGTGGAGACGGTCGTCAAGAAAAGATCACCGCCACAACAGACAACAGACTCCTTGCGAGACTCCTTCAACAGAACCCACAATCCCAGAGACGCGAGAGACTGCATGCAGGGAAGACGTCTGTTGAATCTGAAGAACCAGCAAGTCTTAGCGAAAAACCAGCAAGTAGCAAGTATTATTATTTGACCATTATGGCTTCCGGTTTCCGGTACGACAACGATCAAGCCCACCGTCTTCCCGATTCTCGGGCTCTTTGTTTGTGGGGTAACGCGATCCGATCCAACCTTGGCATCAAAAGTTCCACACAACGGTACATGAGTTCAGCTGTGAATTCTCCAGCGCACCATGACTGCTTTCGCGCTGTACTTTGAATGCGATGCACACCCGGCGAATGGTTTCAGGATATCTCTGCTGCCAGTCCAGCAACCCGTCAAGAAAAAGAATATCGTTGCGATGATGTTGCTGCTCGCCACGGATTCGATTCGATTCGCCCATATAATGGGAGCATGCCGGTGGGCCCGTGGGATAGGAATACCAAGTTTGAAACTCCTCGGTGGGCGCCCGTGAGTGACACCCTTTCTGCGACGGTAGTTGGATGTGTGGTCAGGCTAGAATGCTGCAGGAATTGGCCATTGGAAGGCACTCAAGTACGGCTGCCGCATGACAGTGGATGCTGCCAACAGAACGAAAGATCGTGCTCTGGTGCTGCCCATGGCGGATGCCGTACTTGGAATGGACGGTGAGTTGTTCCACGTGAACATTCTATGCTGGTTTCCTAAACTAAGTTTGTCCGCGAGTATGATTGCCTAGGATGCCGAGCATGAGATGCGTTGGGGCAATCCTTTTGCAGTGGATAGTTGGACATGGAGTTTGTTTTGTGAAGGGGCGCTTTGGAAGTCCTCACGTGGCAGAAGGAGCCAGCGAGCCAAGATTCTGCAGCCAGTCCACCCATCATCTGTCTCTCATAGCTTGCTGCCAAACTCTTGTTAGCTCACAAATTCCACCTGTAGCATGTATCATTGTAGTATCTCACATACAGTTGTAGTACGGCAGCCCTCATAGGACTGCTCTCATTGGAGCTCCAGGTCTTGAGGTTGTTCCCCTGTCAGGTTGACATTTACAAGCCCCCTTGTCCCCTGGTTCAAACACCTGGGGGCAGCCCCAGCAAGTAGCGCACATGATCCAACCCCTCGTGAGCTACCGGATTGACATATATGTTCAAGCCTTCACACAAAATGTCCTGATTCATAACCGTGTCCAGGGGATGGTAGTTCAGTAAGCAACAGCATCCCATTCAAAGTAGTTGGATCCAACTATTGATGAAAGCGCCCTCCTGTGCAACCCCTTGCATTCCGACCGGTATGTTCACTCTGTCCTGCAATCTGAGCGCAAATGAGCGGATGGTGTAGCTATAATAAATTGTCGTGCCATTTGCGATAGCTTTGATGAAAATATGTTGTCAAGTGTTCAAATTTGAACATGGTAGGATTTGATGTACCATACGCAAGGACGGTTTCTTTCTGTGGCCTCCTCGGCACCTGTACGATAGCGGCACAGGCCAAAGCTTAGATGCGGGCAAGAGATGCGAGAGCCAAAGACACCAGGAGCTGAAGGGGAAGGGTGTGACCCAGTGCAAAACATGGCAAGCATGAATGTTGTAGAGCACAGCACGGTGGAGTTAGAGCAATCCCCTAGCTAGCAGAGGCAAACCAGGGCCCCCAGCAGAAACCGAAGCGAGCAGACTGCCTGTGAACTGGTGCAAAAGAGATGAACACATAGGACCTGAAGTCAAAGCCCGGAGAACAGAGCAGCATTTACCCCCCCTTGAGCTGGAATGAAGGGGAGAGAATGGCAGAGAATGCCGCAAGGGCATTTGCCATGCGAAAGCCGGAGGATAACCTGCAGGTACAAGAGCCGAAAGAAGAGTCGCAAATCCAGTTAGGCGAAAAGAGGCAGAGAGCGAAGGCCAGATAAGAGACTTCAGGGGACTCCAGGAAGATGCCAGAGGGTACAAATTGGCGCCACTCTGATAACTCCAAAGTCGGCAGAACAATAACGAAACAGGACATGGCTTTGATGCATCAACTCCAAACGAAGTGAGAGCTGTTTGCCAAATCTGCAGTAGTAGGAAGAGCAGGGAGTTAGTGGCCCAATCAGCTTGACTAGCTAGTAGGGGCTGCGACTACTGCTGTCTAACTAGAACGGTGTCGGTGAGAAACTTGGTTGGTCACTCAGCAGATGCCAGTGAGAGTGATTGGTTTGCTACACCTTGTTTCTCTCAACTTGCTCTGAGGCAGACCCATGCACTTAGTTGTCTGCACAGTGCAGAAGACGGAGAAGGGCTGCCGTTGGTGTGGCTTGTCAACCATCAGTGCTTGCAATGAAGAAGAAGGCTTTGGTCGGCCGAACCGGCTAGCCACACGTCACACAAAGCAAGTTGATTCATGAACAACGGAAGTGGGCTAATAAATTGCTTTTACAGCTTATGCATCTTATGAACTATGTATCGTCAATGCTAACCTTTCACTCGTCTTCATGTAAGTCAGTCCCAACAACCAGAAGGTCCCAGTCCTTGGGCGTTTTGAAAGGTCAGTCGAAGCGACCACCACATGACGAGGGTCGTGGCCTCTTGTTTCCCCTTGATCTTGATCAGCCTTCTCCAGCAGGTGCAATAGAACACGCTTTGTGGCGAGTGTGTCAAAAGCAAAAGGACATTGAAGACGGATCGATCCGTCTCATCCGACAAGGATTGGACCTTTTCACGCATGGTCCCGGTAGCCCATTCTGCAATCTGAATCGAAGTCATTTCTGGAGAGGGCACATTGTTGGGATCCTCCAGCAGTTCCAAGACCTCCTTGGAAATTACATTCTTGAGGATCTCTTCCTTTCCATACAGATCGGCCCATGCCACCAAACGAGCCACGGCATTGGCCCTGTCTTCTCCTGCAAGTACCAAGCCGGCGAGGCGCTCTGGCAAGGTGTCCAAAAAACTTGACCCAGCAGGGAAGAGTTCACTGGATAGGCCCTGTGGGTACTTGACTCGCATGCTCCTGGCCATGAGAGGCGACATCATGCGGGTCATGAGGTTCCTCATCTTACCACCCTCCAGTTTCTTGGCTGCCGAGCGGGGGACACTGAACATGGCGGTAGTCATTTCTTCACCCAGAACCGCGCTGACGACCCGATTCATATAGTTAAACAGCAACACCACCGCGGCGACTTCGGCCTTTGCGGTATCCGAAAGGACATTACTGGTGTCATGTGGTGGGAGATCATCCACGGCAGAGTTCCGGCACTTTTCTGGAAGCAACAGCATTTCCGCGTACGCCATGGCCTGATTGTGGCGTTGTTCTTGGAGCATTACTGCCTCGTTAGTTCCTGTGGAATCTTCGGCGGATCCTGCTTGTAGCGTCATCTTGGCGGCACTTCCAAAGGCACCATGAGCAAGGATGCAGATTGGGCACCGATTCCGAGCACTCACGAGCGCAGCAACGGACTCTCGCGTGTATCGGGTAAGCTCGCCATCGGCAATCATGATCTCCGCCACGCAGGACCAGAGACCGGCAAACAGCTCGTTGTTGACCGAATGAACCGTGATGGGGTTGTTGGTGCCTTTCGACATGATGGCACCCATGGGAAAGTATTTCTTCATTGACTTTCGAGTGTGAGACGGTTTGACAGAAATCATTCTCGTAGTACTTGGAGATGCCACCGGTGTGGAGGGAGAGGGAGCGGTGGACATGGTGGAACTTTAGAAAAGGGTTGTCAATTGGTTGTGGCTTCAATTCTTTTAAAGCTCCAGGAAGGAGGATAATAAAATGAACGAAATGAACGCCCTCGTGGCAAGCACCAGTGAACAAGAAGGCAAGAAAGTGCTTGAGCAGATAGAAAAAAGTGAGAGGGTGGATGCCACATGTGTTCTGTCCAATGTTCAATGACCTTTTAGGTCTTATGCCTCTTGATATCTGATACGGTGTTAAATCTCATGTTATAAAAGTAACATTGGACTGTTATTTTGTTATTTCGTCCGGAAAAGATCTCCATAAGATTGCTGGATCTTAGGGGATGAGCAAAAATGCCAATAGCACTGCATTGAATTTGATAGCTCTTTTTTGTATAATTGTGTCTGTAAAGGAAATATTATGTTTTGGATGTTTGTTTTCTATTGGGTTGGATTTGATTTGATTAGATTGCATTGAATTGGATTGAATTGAATTGAATTCCATTTTACTATACAAATAACCGTACTATTGTTGATCCAATTCAATCCAATGCAATCTAATTCAATGCAATTCAGTGCAATCCAATCCAATTTATCTTAATTTTGGTCGAAAGCTTGCATTTCGCTTTATTAACTGTTATTTTGAGTCGCAATTGAGTACACTACAGCCATAGCAACATTTGCTCATCCCCTTATTGGCAAAAAGGTCATTTGTACCGGTACTCGTAAGCTCGTAAGGAATGACTACTACATAGAGATCATTTGCCAGGTCGACAGGGGAGCGCAACAGGGAATTAAGGAGCTCCAATCAATCCCGTTTTGGCTTTTAAATACTCGAGTACCCTTGGCATTGAGAGTTCTGGCCACTTGCCAAGGACTATCATTCAAGACTACAAACTTCAAAGAGCAATGTAGGGGACTCACACATGCTCCTCTCTCTCTCAGAACTGGCTGCAAGATTGAGCTATCTAGGGTTAGGGTCAGTCAGAGAATCAGGAGCCAATTCAGAGCCCATCTTGGTTAGAGCAGTCAACCCAAGGTAGAGGACACTGGTGTCTTTTTTCTCTAAAGGACTGCTCAGTTCAGTGTTTGGGTTCCAACAGCTCTGGTTCGGTGCACTAGCTAGATAGCACCAATCCCCTCTGTACGCCAACTCTAGCACTATCGTTCTCACAATGCACAATGAGTTGTGCCTAGTCGCACCTCTATAGAGATAGTCGTCCTAGCTAGGCCATTTCTGGTGGGGTCTTGACATCTGAAGTTGGGTGTATACTCTCCAACTTGAAAACTGTTGCTTGGTTTGGTGCTGTCAAAAGAGCCAACGGTACATGTAACTCTTTTGGAGCCAACTGGTGATTTTGGGTAGGGTGCGTAGACTACTATCTAGCTATTGCTTGCTGGAATCCCTTGGGGAGGATGGAACAAGAATGCATCATAGCATGAACCAGGGATCTTTCGCTCACAGGGAAGTGGAGAGAAAGAGACATGGTGGGCTAAACCAAGACCCCGCCCATTGAACATGTTTTGACCATTTTTGCCCATAAAGCAAAGTCTGATCTTTTTGAAGATATACAGTCAGTCCACCTTGACAACAGTTGGCCATGGTCAATGGTGGTTAAAACGGGTCTTCTGTAGTCAAGTACGGTCAAATCATGGACACGTGCGGTCAACCTGAAACCTTCTATAGGTATCTTACTATGGAAACTGTGATCAGCCGCGGTTACATGTGGTCAGCCAGCCATGGTTATGTGTGGTCAACCAAGGTCCCTAGTTGCCAACCATTGTCAATGGGCAAGAAGTACTATGCCACTTTAGGCTTCTTAGGCTGACTTTGACCTCTCTAGCTAGCCTAACAATTGCTCTCATGAAACACTCGCTCGACCATGCAAAGGGCGTTCCTTGGCTGTATGCATGCATGGGAATGGCTGACACCATGGAACGTTTTCTGAAAATCGTTTTCAGATGTGGCTGTTTGCCAACCAACCAACCTCGTTAAGCAAGTCCAAAGAAATGGCTGCATATGGGAATTACCGATGTCAAGAATCAAGACAGCGCTCCAAGACTCCAGGAGGCAATACCATGCGGAATGCAGAAGAAGACTTTCTTGGCACCTGCCCCATTGGCCCACTCTCCTTGGACGTCTTGAACTTGAAGTTTTGCCATTCTCCACCAGGCTGCGTCAGCCACGAGATGCGAGCGAGGAACTAGGCTACAACGGAGCTACCTGGCTTGATTGCAGATGGAAAACAACGAAGGAAAGTGGAGAGTGGTGACGGCTTACTCTTCTCAGCTTCCACAATCTTCTCGAGCTCCCTCGGCGATCGGTAGCTAGCTACTCTACTCTAGCTCGTACCGTAGGCAATACGCAGACCATTGTTGCTTCTGAGCAGCCAGGTACCGGTACGGGAATGGTATTGGTCAAACTCATATCGTTACCGGTAAGGCCGTGTTCCTTGTCGCTTTGACAGCAGGTAGGTGCGGTAATGTTGTACAGAAATATGTTTAATGATATCTCTAGCCCCCTATTTCCCATAACTACCGGCTATTGTCAACTGGAACGACTTCCGCACAATCCAAACCTACATGACGCACAGGGAGTACAGAAGACATCAGTCTCGTTGGATCATTATTTCGTGATGACGCCAAAGGGGTACGGTACGAACGTACGTACTTTTCAACTCTGACTCAGAAAATGAAGGAAGTTGGGAGTATTTTTTGATTATCAAATTAGTTTCTGTCCCTGAACCCCCTTTCCTTTTTCTTTGAACTATCACTTGAGACGCTTTACCTTGAAGGCCTCACTGGACTTTTCAGCGAATGTTAATCGCTGCAGAAAATGGTAAAGGGTAAATGTCTCATAAAGGATATAAATATGTAGGCACAACTGCGACAGAAGAAATCTTTTGAGTCAGAGACAGTGTACAAAAGGCTGACTGCGGCAGTCTTTAACCCGGCATTTCTATTGCCTTGAGGCCTTGAGGAACATTGGTTTGGCCATCCACACTCTCTCATCGTCATCAGGGGATGTTTGATTGTGAAGGAACGTGCGCTTGAGCAAATTGCAGATCTTTCAACTGAGACCTTTTGCCACGCATGCATCAATCTGAGTCAGAAGGAGCAAATTAGAACTGTTGGGAGCCGCTGAAAGGAAACAGTGCAGCGAAGTTTGCTCCCAGTTCAAGCAAGTGCTGCAGCGATTCTACCACTGCGGAAGCTCCTTGTAAAACATGGTGGTTGTCACTCTGCCAAAAAAAGGACCCTTTCGACAAACCTCACAATCTTCTCTGCACCTCTGCAAACAACCCCACCACCAACAAAACTAACCCCGAAGCACTACCGGTATTTGTCAATCATGAGCAATACCTTCGAAAGCTGTCTTGTCCTGAACGCTCAAGCTATTCTTCTAGTACAGCTTGGCCATTGCGAAGAGGCTATCCGCTGCATCAAGGAAGCCTTGCAACTGCTACAACCGAACCTCCGGCTCCCAGCCGCAACGCAGCCACAAGATAATGGCAACACCAAGAGACCGTACTACAGCATACCCGTCCTTCCTGAGGGCATCATGCACACGTCTTCAATGCTATCCAGCGACAATATCTTCTCGTTTTACCCTCGCATGTTCAACATAACTGAACACGACGACTCCAAGTTTGGTGCAGCGAAGATCTTTGTTATACTCATCTTTAACTTGGCCATGGCTCACCACGTTCACGCTGCCTTGCTTGAGTGCGAGGACAACGCCAACAATGGCTGGCTCAAGCTCGAAACTCCACGAGACCGCCAGACACGCCTCACCGCCATTCTGAAAATGTACCAGAATGTGATTGTGGGTGCCCGTACTACGCTGAGTCCCGATGAAGTTGGAGGACTCTTGTGTGTGGTGACAGCGGCCGCCAACAACGCAGGTCACTTGAATACCTGCATGAATAACTTCCAAGAGATGCAGGCGAGTTTGAACTTGGAGATGCAACTCATGAAGCTTTCCTACGGAGCCTGTACCATACCTGCAATGGACTACGGGATCTTCTTTTCGAGCATTTTTGTCTTTTTGGAAGGAGCCGGTCTCTCCATCTCTCCCGCTGCATGAGATTTCCGGATTGATTTGTTCCTGTCGTTGCCTTTCCAGAAGAACCAGCCGAGCGAAGCGCTATTATAGCTGCTATTATGCAGCGTCTCATTTTAGATTAGCATAAGATTGCTTTTGTAACATAGAACCCTCCATAATGAATGATAATACTAGTACTACTTCCTACCGGTAATAAGACTTTCAACATTCAGTATGACTTGATCACGATTCTTTTAAAAGGCTCCTTGAAGCTATTTCTGTTCGCGAAGAGGCTTGGGAATTGGGAAGTATTGTTTGTGCCGGTAACACTAACAACCGGCACCCCTCGAGACAACTCGACGCGAACCTAAAAGATCTTGGCATCCTTGGGCTTCGACTGGCCGTATTCGTACCGGTAGGCATGGTAGGTTGGGGGTAACATTGGCAGACCCGCCAACCATCCATTCATTCATTCTACTAGCTAGCCAGCTATCAACATCCATTTGACAGGCAAATCGCCACTCCGACCCCAGAATGCGAGACCACGATGTCACTGAACGTGGAAGAAAGACCAAGAATGGTCGAAAGTGTGCGTCTTTGTGGTAAGTAATTGAGTACCGGCGCAGTAGAAATGTGTAGATTTTGTACCAAAAACTCTGAACTTCTGAGATCAAAACAAAACTCGCTATTACATTCGACCATGATGGGAGAAGCGACCGGCAAAGGGCGGTGTAGGTTTGGATGATGAGAATGTGATTTGCCCACCCTTGAGTATGCTGCTCACAAATTGACATTCTCGTCAAAGCAAAAGCACAACAACAGTATACGCAGCGTGTGCGATGATCACACGCCTCTTGACCAAAGTCCTTCAACCCGCAGCCCTCTTTTCGACCATGGCCCCTCGTGCTACCACCACTGCCAACGAATGCCACGCTTTGGAAATGGCTCGCAACTTGAAACTTCCTTCTCGTGAAGAGATGTTGCGTCGTGATCCCAAAGTCTACCAGTTCTGGAGCGATAATGAGGAATGTTTGGTAGACGCCTGGAATGAATGGCAGCAAACCGATGATAAGGCTCTGGCCCTTCCCAAGTTGGACGAGTCCATCCTCAACCCCAAGTTGAAACAAGCCATTGAAGCCGCATGGGAAGATCCCAGCAAGGAAGTCAATGTCAAAGACTTGTGGGAGGAAATGGCTCCAGGAGTCTACGGCATCCAATTCTTTGACAAGGACAAAGTCCAGGTCCTTCGGGAATGGATCGATGTGGCAAGAGAGTCGGGCATTCCCACCCGTCCACCCTATGGCATTGTCTTGAACCGCAAGGGACTCATGATTGATCCTCGCAGTGTCGGTTATATGGCGGCTCCTGATTTTCAAACTTTCTACCAAGATGTTCTTGTCGACCGCTACATTCGTCCCATGGGCCGTCTCCTTTTCCCCGAGTTTATCCAAACCAAAGACGACTCGGAATCATTCGCCTTTTCCATCCAGTACCAAGCGGGAGGAGACGAGTCCATCCGTCCCCATTCGGATGCCTCGACAATCACGTTCAACATCAACTTGGACCTGGAACAAACTTGGACTGGCTCCTCGCTCTACTTTTGGGACAACGAGCGTACTACTCGCAAGACGGTGGCGTGGAAACCCGGAATGGCCATGATTCATCTCGGACGCACCATGCATGCGGCCTTGCCCATTGAAACTGGAACACGCTCCAATTTGGTGATATGGACATTTGCCAAGAACGGTGGACGTGGCTACGGTGGAGCGGATCCCTTGATGTTGGACGATGGTCGTTACCCCGAAGAGTATCAGTTGTCGCCCGAACAGCGCTGGTCCTTGCCCACGGATCGTTCCAGCCCGGATTCGTGGGATCGCTTTGCGCCCTTTTAGAGGAATGATGCGATTCGATTCAATTATTATGATGGAAGGAACGAAAGTTAGTTGGTCCTGTACCCTGTCGAATGTTTGTGTTGATATCAAAGAGGAAAGAGGAACCTGGAAGAGAGACGACTACATGTATTCCATGATGTGTTGCGGAGAACAGAAACCAGTAGTGAAAGATAACGGAAGAACTTAAGCATCATGATATTATCTAAAAGAACTGTAGCTTTCATTCTAGAGTACAAGTACAGTGAGGATATAGTGTGTGTGTGTGTTTGGTAAGCCTCCGTAAGTTTAAAGCGAGGGCAGGGTTGTTCGTGTACCCGTACGGTACCTGTAGGTGTGTGTGTCCGTAGCGCTCGTCGTCGGGAGGTTGCAACCAACCAGCCATCCGCCAATCTTTCTCCCTCTCCAACGAAGGCAGCGAAGGCGCTTGAAACAAATGGAGCAAAAGATTGTGAATAAATATCGGTGACTATTATTTGAACAAGGAGTTGTTTCTGAAACGACCACTGAACTCAGACAGCGTCAACTGCATAAGGCATTGTCGTGCTCAATCAAAACCAACTACAATTTCCAAAACCCAAATAGCTAGGTGCTTACATAGAACTCTAGTCCGTCCAAGAGAAAGCCCCTACGTACTGGAGGAAGCTTCTTTGGTACTAGCCGTTGTCTTTGGTAAATTCATCGCACCACCGCTGGCATTGGTGAAAGCAAAGCCGCCGAGGGCGGTGCACACCCGAATTTGGATTTTTGTGGCTTTCAATTCATGTTGGTCATTGTCGTCACCATAAAACACTCGTTGGAGTGCCAGGACCTCGCGGAGCTCTTCCAAAGCAGCTGCATACTCTTGCTTATCCTTCAACGCCATTGCCTTTTTGGTACGAGCTTCTAATGGCTTTGGGTGTCGATCTCCATAAACCGATGTAGCAAGATCCAGAGCGTCTTGGTAGGCCTGCATCCGTTCTTCCCCGCCCGAGACATCCCCAACATAAATGTATGCATCGAATGTGTCCTCAGGTGGACTTCCGCGGAGTTCCTTGTTAACCTCAAGGCGCTTCTTCGCAAACTGCAGCGCGTCTTCCTTGCGATCCCAAGCCAGGTACAAAGAGCTCAGATGATTGTAGACATTTTCCAGGCGTTCGTGGTTCGATGATTGTTCGGCTATGGAAGCCGCTTTTGTCAAATAGTCCAGAGATTCCTCGTAGCGCTCCAACTTTTTCAGAACGCGCCCAAGCTGAACATAGCAGACGGCTGTGTTATCACTGGCAACACCTGATCCATCCAGGTCTTCCTGAAGCTTTACAAGCCGTTGCGTGTGAACAAGCGATTCTTCATGTTTGCCAAGCTCCACAAGAACGGCACTTAAACTGTTGAGCACGTTGACGAAAGAGTTTCCATACTCCTCAGCGTTTTCCAAGAGTTCAAGGCCTTCTTGCAATACCTCCAGAGCAACGTCTCTCTTGCCCAAATGTCTGAAATGCCAACCGACATCACAGTAGAGTGAGCCAACGTGCGACATGTCGCTGTTTTTGTCGGACTCCCTTTTGCTCAAAGCTTCATCTCTTTTATCATGCAAATGTTTCAGGATGCTGGAGTGGAACCATTGACGCAAAAAGATGTTGACACGGGCGTTTGTAGTTTCAACTCCACCTTCATGGTTTTCCAAGACTTGGAGAATCAGGCGTTTGTCGTTCTCTACAGACGCATCTGCTAGTTCGACCCGAGTGTTGGACAGAGCCGTGTAGAGGGAGGCGGTGTCTTCTCCGTACACAACGGCTTGCAACATGTTCTGTTGTTCTTGTGGTGGCATGCAGATAAAGACTTGACAATCGTTGTCAATCGCCGTGAAAATCTCAAAGACACACCAGACGCGTGTCAAATACTTGGGAGATTGCCAGGGTTCCATCATGCAAACTACCTTGCCAATGCCGAGCACACAGGCCCGGAAGTGCTTTAAAAACTCGTCGGCTTCAACTACTTTCCCGCTTTGGGAGAGTTCATAGACACGATGCTGGTTGTTACAGAGGCAGCATATCCAGAAATATGTCCGCTTGGGATCCAACTTTTGCTCTTCACAGAATCCTTGCAATGTGGCCACAATGTCTCCAATTGTGTAACGCCAAGTGTATGACAACATATGAGTCGCATCTCCCACGTGATCTTCGCCCGAAAGGCAATGAACGTAGGCAGCCCCCTTCTGATTGGTCATGGGGCACATGACGTCTACCCCCGCTTGACGAATCAATCCATGCGCCTCCTTCCTCAAGTCCTCCAATTCGTAGATTTTGGCGTTTTCATCCCATCCAGCCTTCTTGACACGCTCCATGAACGACGTAGCCAAATGATGGACGCTCACTCCAAAAAGTTCTGGTTTGCCCCTGCTGGGGGCGGCTTCGGCCGTCATTGTCGCCATCTTCATTGTCGCGATCTACGATACTTTCAAACTTGACGATGAATTGCGGAAAGCAGCAGCGGCTTGACTGCAAACCAAACTAGCGCTTGAGCTACTGTCAATAGACAACAATAGGAAACACAAGATGCCTCCTCGCGGTTTGTGTGGTCTTGTGTCATATCTTCAGCAGCGCACGTGGCATCAGTCATCTGTGCACTGAGCACACTTTCACTGGATCTTTTCCACAAGCACGACTAAATTAGCGTTGAGGAGAAGGGGTACCGGTACGATTTATCGCGGATTCAATGGATGCACATGGTCTCCAGATCGCTATGGTTGGATTTCACTCCACTCGTGACTTGTGCGGGCTTTCTCAGTCATCCGCACGCAATTGCTCCTTCAATCAAAGCAACCACGAAGAACAGGAAGAAACAGCAACGACACCAACCATGACGACCCCTTGGCTCCGCATCGCCCAGGACTATCGTAGCTACCTGAAGGAGGCAGGATTCAGTGCCGATGAATTTAACAACCCTTCTTTTGACCGAACACATGTCTTTAATAATTTCAACCAGTACAAGCAGCGGAAGCAACAACATGGTGACAAAGAGAAAGACGAGGAACCAAGCGCTTCGGTCGCGGCCTTGCCCGCCGGTGTGGTATCTCCGAAGGAAAGATCATCTGCACGTCCTACAGTAAATGAAGAAGATGGCTACAACTCAGAGAGTAGAGACCGGGGTGGCCTAGGAGAACCGAATCCAGATGCACCGGGTAGAAATCGAGCCTACAAAACGAAAGAAGAGGAAGTACCTAGATTTGTAGCTCTAGCAGTCAGAGCTGCTGCCGGTAATGATAGATCTGCTGCTAGTTTGGTATCTCCCGAGAAGCTGTCCGGCCATACTGCATCGAAAGACCCAGGCTTCAACTCGCTCAGGAGAAGCCTTACTGGAAACCAAAAAGGATTTGATGCACTGGCAGGCAGCAGTAAGCTGGCCAGTGAAGAGGAGGAAAAGGAAGTAACAAGAGTTGTAGCTTCCGTCAGAGCTGCAGCCGGTAATGATAGATCTGCTGCTAGTTTGGTATCTCCTGAAAAGACCCTTACCCATCCCGCAGTGAGAGAACAAGAATTCAATTCACTGAGGAGAACCCTTGATATTGAAGAAGAATCAAGTGCACTTGCAGTGAGCAGCATTCGAGCACAGGAAGACAAAGTCGCAAGACAGGCTGCGATTAGGGCGCCCATCAGAGCTGCCACCGGGAAATCTGCAACTTCACGTAGTCGGGTATTCTTATCTGATAAGTCCGCCAGCGCAAAGGTGAGATCAAGAGAACAAGACGGTCAAGGCATCCATTCTGTTCGAAGAAACTTGGATGAACAATTGACTGCAGCTGCCCAGCAAGAGAAACCCAAGGAACACGGGGGGTCAGGGTCGGCCGTGAAAAAGAGAGCGGCCAACTCTGCCACTGAAAAGGGGCCTCCCCGTAAAACAAGGAAGGAATCTGCCGAGGAGCATGCTGTAGCAGCTCGTGATCGTGAAGATGGATCGGCAACGAGAGAGTCGGCATCGGACAGAAGTAGCGATCCCGGCGACAGTCAAACTAGACGAACCAATGAGAACGGCACAGGCGACACCGACCAGAATGCAGAGGATACTGACAACAACAATGAGTCTTGGGAAGAATATTTGAACGGTTGTCTCGAACTAGATCAGGACAAGTATTTGAGAAAGCGTTTGCTGAAATCGAACACTGGTGATAAGAAAACATCGGCATGGTGTCTGCTCAAGGCCTTCTTCCTATCGAAGACTCCCACTTCAACAAAAGCAGAATTGATAAAGGCGGCAGAACCCTTCTATGGAGCCCCCATGCAGGCAAAGAATTATGAAGGATTGGTGAATGAAGAGTATGGGCCTTGGCACTCTATTATCACCTTGGAAGGCAAAAGTTTTGTGCAGAGACACCCTCGCGGAGGGCTGGGCGGTGTAGATACATTTGAGTTGACGGGGGCTGGAAGGACTGTCTGTGCCAAACTATTTGTGACAGGCAAGAAGGAATCCACAGAAGGAGGAAGAGCCAAGAGAAAGCAAAAAGCTTCGTCGATTACTTCGTTTTTCTCGCCAAAGATGAACTAAGCCAGTCGCTGCTTGCGTTTGTGAACAACCTATCAAAATTCAATCTCGAGTCCATGAAATTCAATCTCGACTCAACGTAAAAGAATTTCTTTGCCCTTGCTTTGCTTTGGGCTTTATCATGACTGTATATAAGCAACGTACTACTTGACCCACTCGCGAAGGACACTGTGTCTTGCTCTCATTTCTTTCAGGATGTTAGCATAGATCGGATTGTTGATTTCATCGGTTTGTTCAAGGGGATCATTGGTCAAATTGAAGAGTTGTTCTGTATCCCAGCCTGGCCAGTCAATGTACCTTTAGTGAAACAAAGCACAAGTTAGCAACAGGAGCTCTACATCAATTGGTTACTTGTACTCAGATCGAGATGACGTACTTCAGTTCCTTTCGCACCAAGGCCGTAGATGCAGGGATGATCTCTTTGTGCAAGTGTACTGGGTGTTCTGTTGGTTGGCACACAAGGGTGGTCAGATCGAAAAATAATAATATAGAGTATCATATCAATGACCTGTCCTGCAAAAGATAGACGTACCATAAAAGAACTCTTTTCTCCAAGGAGGAGAATGGGGTCTCAAGTAGAGATCCGAAATGTCTCTTCCTTGCATGACTTTTGGAGGTGTGATATTGGCAGCACCTAGAATGGTTGGAGCCAAGTCCACATTCAAAGTAAAGGAATCGTCTGTGGTGCCACGCAAACTGTCGGGCATGCGTGGATCCCAAATCACGAGCGGCACGCTGAGCAAGGGAGCCGACAACAGCGTTAGAAAGATCATATTGACGGTGGCAAACACAAAAAAAACTGTCTGCCATCCTCCTTACCGGATGCTCTCTTCATGTGGGTACCATTTACCAGCGAGACCGTGTTCCCCATGGTAGAACCCATTATCCGTACTGACACACACAAGACAGGGCGGCAATTTAGAATGAGGCTTGCTTCTTTCGTGCATCCCACACAGCTGCATGATGCATCTGCATCATGCCAAACTTACGTGAAAATGAAAATGGTCTCATTCAAGATTCCCTGTCGATCTAGTTCATCCCAGACGGCTTTGCAAGCCGTATCAACACCAGTAATGAGTCGAAAGTAGTTTTTGAGCATTTTGTCGTATTTTGTGGGTTCATCGAATCGATGCCGCCATCGGTTGCGTGCTTCATTTCGTTCGGTAAACAGAGGAGGGAGTCGTTTGAACGAGGATGCCATGTCATAGGGTTCTTTGAGTGTTAGATTTTTGTAAACATGAAAGGTTTCATTCTGCGGTAGAAACTGTTCCGGATTCCCATCCCACGAATGTGGTGCAAAAAATGCCGTGAGGAGAAAGAATGGTTTGTCGGCGAATTTTTTGGGTCTGTCTTTCAAAAAGGCAACGGCATCTTCTTGGTTTCTCGTAGTGGCGTGGACTGATGATTTGATTGTATAGTGTATTGTTGTTGTAGTGGTTGTTTAGGATGAGTGGGAACGGATGGAGTCCGAGTTGTTTTGGTGGGAGGTTAGCCACCTCAAGAAACAAAATTGAAAAGCCAATATCGTAACTGTACAACTTACTTGGGTGGGGATTTCCAGGATACCAATGGCGTCCATAGTATTCCTGCCAGTGATGGTAGTACTTTTGGATGATACCTAACAATGGAAAAAACACGTTGGAATGAGACCAAAAAGACAGCATAGAGTGCACCAATCCAATCCAATTGTCTATCAACAAAACTCACCGCTGTTCCAAGTGTGCCACTTTCCAATATGTGCCACTATAGCAACAAACAAAATAATAAGTCATGGTAAAAAGCAGTAGCAAAATCAGCAGCAGAAGAACAAGTAGTAGACATACCATAATACCCCGCATTTTTGAGTAATGCCGGAAATGCTTGATGAAAGTCCTTGTACCAGTCTTCCGATGCCGGTTCTTCCGCTTTGTGTCGAGAAAAGTACTTGCCGGAATGAAGCGTAGCTCGGCTGATCCAACAAATGGAAGATGTGACACAATTGTGCGTGAAGCGCATCCCCTTGTTGCGAGACAACCAATCGATAAAGGGAGTTTCCACGGGCAGAGTTCCAGCAACGCCCTTGACGCACACACAAAAAAGAAACAAGAGGAACATGAGCAAGAAATAAATATCCAAAATACACAACAACACCAATCTCTTTTTCTTCTTACAATCGCATCATGCCTCCAATCATCACCATACATAACAACCACATTGAGTGGCTTGTCAATCTTGTTGGGCTCATGGGATGATGGCAAGGCAGAATCGTCCATGCGTGTTGGTGCAAAGATATCTTGGTTCATCAACTGTTCCACAGCACCCGTCACGGCATCATAGGAGCGATGATGCATCGACAAGGTGATGGCAATCACCACTGTGATTGGCACCCACACTTTGTACGAAAAGCGGTCCATGGTACTCGCTTGATTGCCTGCCCACAACTAATCTATCGAACGTTTTATGGAATGATGAAGTGTTACTATGGTGAAGTCAAGAAAAAGTAGTGCAACCGTGGGTTTGGCGTGGAATGAAGGACGATCATTGGAGCGTGGATCTGGAGCCAACGGATAAAAAAACGGCAAGATTGTTCGGCACCGGTGCATCTGAATTTGCTGTCAGCTCTCTTGCAAAAGATACACTTTACCCGCACTCTTGGCAGCAAGTTTGTGACCATGCTTTTGCTCGAAAAAGATCAAGCCAATCCTCTCGCAGATCCTGGGATCTGCTACCCTCTTGGTCTGCCAGCCAGGTTGCGAGAGACTCGTCATTCCTGTGTTAGTCAGTCCTCGTCCTTGATGCATCGTCCTTGATCGTCCTTTGGCAATAAGATCGCCAGGTGGGTAGTGGTTACAGTATCGGTGCAGGTTCCAACCAACTGCTGCATGCAGTTCTGTACGTACGGTACTATTTTAGGTCATGATCCACAAGACATCTTTAGCTAAACACATAGGAACAGCCAAACAATATTATATATTTCTAGCAAGTTACAGCATCCAACTGTCTTCGGAACAGAACAGAACAGAAAAGCAAGCAAGCACTGGAACCTGGCTCCAAGCACAGGATTCCACTCTCGCTACACAGCTTATACTTTTCGGGCGACAAGAAGATTGTTGAGTTGAATACAGGAACCAAAGGCTCTTGCTGCTCCGAACATCCGTGGTGGCAAAGAGGAAGGTTATCAAGATCAAGGCAGACAACAACAGCACTTATCGTAACAGGGTGGACTCTTGTTATCAATTTCGGGCTGATCCATGTCACTGGCATCATCGTACGTCCGCACACCGGAAACTCCCACGAGGTATCCACCTTTATTGCTGCTCCCGATCCGTGCCGGTGCAAATTCGAGCTGATTGATATAATAATCGGGTGGAATGGAATAGGAAAAGTAGTCTCCCTTCCAATCTTTGTTGCTTCCGACAAACTTGATGACTTGACCGGATACAAATTCGAGATTGAGTGTGTGACAGAGGTAGGTGACCTTGGGTCCCTTTTCTTTGGTGGTGGATGGCATGATGCGGGTGAGACGACGGCCGGATATGGTACGGATGCGTCCACCGGGTTGTTCGATTTTGACAAATTGGGCTCCTCGGAGAGTATTCTCGAATTGTTCGACATCGACATGAATGTCAGTTTCGAGTTTGCGGCCCTTGCAGAGTATGCCTCGTTTTCGTACCGCAGACAATTTGCCTTCTCGGTGTCCATCAAAAAACAGGAAAATGGCTCCCTGGAGGGCATCCTTTCCAAGCAGACAGACGTAGGCGAGCATCATGGAATCGCGGTAGTCTGGGTACGGCAATTCTCGTGCCTTGAGATGATCTCCCACCCAACCACCCGTTTCTTGTTTTCCGTAGGGATTATCCTCGCCAGGTTCCTTGTCATTGTCGTTGTTCTTGTCGCGACTATTCTTGCGTTTCTTTTCATTTTCTTCGTAATCATCTTGCTGTTGCAGAAAATCCAAATCCGGTTGACTTTCGTCTTCAAACATTTCCGCCAACGGCGCCGGCGTGGAATATCCTCTATACCCAATACACACTCCTTCTTTGAATTCCAACGCACTGACGAAAAAGTTGTCGGGTAGATTCTTGACTTCAAATTCTGCTCCTTTCCAATCATCTCGTACACCTTGAAATTCCATGACTTGTCCCGATGCAAATTCGAGACGCGCCGAATGCAAGAGACACGGCGTCCCGTAAATGGAATGAAATCCGTGAATGCGGGTAATATACCCCATGGGTTGTTCCACCAGTGTCCATCGATCCGTGACACTTTGTTTGACGGTATCGCGATCGCGGACGGAAATATGAGCACTGCCACTTTCCGTGCCGTCCTTGTTTTGCAACAGCAATGCGCGGACGCCACCTTCGCCCCACAGTGCCACACGGGCAATGACGACGTTCTTCCAATCTTGATCTTCTTCCAGTGGTGTGTCGCTCAAACAGACGAGTGTGGCAATGTGGCGGGATTCTTCGGATTCTTCTTCTTCTTCTTCTTCTTCTTGGTTTTCATCCTCGTCTTGATCATTGTTGTTGTTGTTTTCCGATTCTTCTTCCTCTTCCTGATGACTCGACTCTTGATTTTCCGAGTCGTCGTCTTCTTGTTGTTGTTGTTCCGAGTCGTCGTCTCCTTCTTGTTGTTGTTCCGAGGTTTCACTTTGGTTATCCGAGGCGTCCGTCTCCCACTTCTCCTGGTCGGACTCTTGCCTTTGATCGGAACCGGTCGAGGCAGTCTCGACCGAGACGTCGTCTCTTCTTCCGCCGGATGGCATGGTGATTTACTTGCTTACTTCTGTGCCAGCGCTGACTACTTGTACATGTAGTAGATAGTTTGTGTGGAGGAAGGCCAAGGATGCAAGCGAGAAAAGAGGATGAAAGGTGAAGTCCAAAGCGCAGAAGAACTTTGAAACCTCTCATTTATGTCTCTGGAGGTCATGGATGACTTCTTGGATACAGGTACATGTACCGGTACCGGACATGCTGGCTTGTGGGTGGTGGCGCCATCGGTAAGTCACGAACGGATTCCCGAGTTGGATCTTCCGAATGATTGGATTTTCGTTGCAAGGCTTTCTTCTGAAGCTCGGAAAGCATGTCTGCATTCTGCTTCCACATCATTTCAAGCCAAAGCTTGCTCCACCAAAGACTACTACAAGAGCACATGACAATGACGAGGGATCCTACTACAATGCTCAGTGGCAAACGCCTTTTGCTATTCCTGTCGGTCCAACAAGTCTTTTGGTGTACTACTACTCTTACGTTTGCCCAAATTACTGTGGCCCAAAATACCGACGATTGTCCCATCACCAATGATCTCTTTCAGCAGCAAGAACAATGCGACTATGTCTTTGATGGTGTCTGCGATGCCGGTACTATCTGTCCCACCGGCACGGACTGTTTTGATTGTCACGGCTGTGCGGCCTACCATCTGAATTGTACCAGTTGCATTGACAATGGCTGCTTTTGGTGTCCTTCCGATGCCACTTGTCAATCGCAATCGTTGGGCAATGTTTGGACTACCATTCAACAACATTTTGCTACTGCCAAAGTCTCTTCGTGTGAAGCTGACGACAGTTGGGTACAAACGTGTGCGACCAATCCAGAAAATATCTTTACGGATCCCTTGTACAGTGCCCAACAATGGGCCTATCAAATGATGAATGTCGAACCCGTCTGGGCCGCGGGTTACACCGGAAAAGGAGTGGTCGTGAGGGTCAATGATCCCAATGGCGTCGATGTCACGCATCCCGAATTGGCACTCAATTTTGAGGCGTCCGCTTCTTGTTCGTCCTATTTGCCTGCGAGTCCAGAAGATTCGCACGGGACAGCCGTGGCGTCCTTGGCCGTGGGAGTCGCCAACAATTCACACTGTGCCGCTGGCATTGCACCCAATGCTACCTTGTCGGCGTGTGTCGGACCTTCTACGAAATCCGATGAGGATGTCGCGCGCTTTTTTGATAATGGTCTCGATTCCACCCACATCTCTGTCAACAGTTGGGGATTTGATGCCTGTTCCAAAAAGAATAACAATAATGCACGACGTCGACTTCAGACAACGTGTCCCTTTGTGGCCGACAATAATCCCTGCAATCAGTGTGCCGATTGGACCAGTTCGGACTGTGAAGCAGAGATTGTCACGTTTTGTACCGAACACTACGAGACGGAAATGCTGGGATGGTGAGGAATTGATTGATCATTCATTTGCTGTTGATGGCCAATGAATGCTCACTGTATGCTCACCCTTGGTTGATTGCTACCGGTAAATGGAAACCGACAGTGCCGAGTATTTGGATTTGTTCATTACTTGTGGCTATAATGTTTTGTCCGATGTGGGACAAGAAGCCATTACAAAGGGGGTACAACAAGGCAGGGATGGCAAGGGGATCATTTATGTTTTTGCTGCAGGTTGGTACATGTATCGACGTCCTCACTCATCATTCCATGTCTCCAATATGTTTGCAACGTATTCTTATGATTCTCTTGGTCGATTGTAGGGAATGAATTGGACATGGCAGAGGATGTCAACATGGAAGGGTGGCTCAATTCGAGGTACGTACGGGTTTTTTGCCCAACCTTTCTTTGGTGCCCAATCCACAAAAGAGTACTACCGTCTCACACACTATTAACATATTGATTTGGCCCCCAGATTTACCATTACAGTAGGAGCAGTTGGCAAGGACGGCCTGCATGCATCTTACTCCACACCTGGGTCCGCTCTCTTTATTAGGTACGCCCAGGCCAGGAGTGAATGAATGGACGTGAGTGACAACACTTACACAAAGGTCTAACATCTGTGTGTTGTTTCTGCTTTCTTGCGCGAATGTACACGTAGTGGACCCGGTGGAGGTACGAACGAGTGGGAACAACATCATGGACTGCATCAGTGTTTGTAATAGACGCTCCTCTCCTGACGCCATTTTGCTTCTTTGATTGACTTATCTTGTTACTACAGATTTCAATGACGCAACGAGCAACATTGTGGCAGCACCGGGAGGCGGCTGTGTGGATGCTACCGTTGGCACTTCCTTTGCCACTCCCTCGGTGGCAGGAGCCATTGCTCTCGTTCTGGAAGCCAACCCTATGCTTGGATGGAGGGATGTGCAATCCATTTTGGCGGCCACAGCACGAAAGATTGACGAAGACAATCCCAGCTGGACTACCAATGGAGCACTCGTACACCATTCCAACTTGTACGGATTTGTAAGTCATGCAATTCAATGATCGCCCACTTGTCAATATTGATTGTTTGGTGCTCATCGTCATTTTGTTTCTTTCTGCCCACCCGCTGGAACTCGACAATCTATCTCAAACTTGCCACTACTACTAGGGCACGATGGACGCACGAGCCGCCGTGGAGGTGGCAAAGACGTGGATCAACGTTGGCCCCGAACGACAAATCATGATGGAAAGTGGCGAGATTGGAGTCGCCATAGTGGACAATCCATCGTCTCCTGCAGAATGGGCACTCTTTGTCAATGGGACCGGCAGCTTTTCCGTCGAGTCTGTGGTAGTGTATTTACAACTAGAGCACGAGTCTCGTGGAGACTTGGAGATTACTCTCATGTCACCATCCGGCACCGAGTCGGTATTGCATCCCGGTTCCCGCCCCGAAAACAGACACTTGATTGGAGAGGAACGATGGAAACTCATGACGGTTCGTAACTTTGGGGAATATCCAGTGGGGGTTTGGACGATTGCTGTGACAGATCGACGGCCTGGCAATCTGGGGGATTGCGTGAATTTGGATTTCGCGTTTTCCTTGACCGAAAATGGTGAAACGTTTGTTGTGAACTGTGGAACGATTGAATCGAGTGCATCCTGTGCGAATGGGTCGGTCGTGGACTCGGAGGTTGACAATGTGGTGGATTTATCGACTGGCCGAACGGGACGGGAAGCTTGTTGCTCGTGTGGTGGAGGCAGAGCTGCGTCGACTGTGAATGAACTCTTGTCCTGGAGGCTTGTGATCTATGGACACGGAGACTTCATTGAAGGTGATGGGCTGGGATCAGGTGGCTCAAGGTGCCATCAAGACAACCGGGGTCTCGTGTTGATGTCGCTTGGCTTGGTATCGTTGGTATCTCTTGCGTCTCTCCTTCACGGTGTTTGATGAGGTGTCTCCCTGGTGTGGTAAAATGATTTGATTCGAATGCAGAACGATGCAGCCAAGGATTGATTGGCCAAATATGGAATTCAATTCTTTGGTTGTCTACTTTTGTGAGGAGGCCTTCCAACGTTTCACCCCAGCAGGCTAGTCTTCATGTACTGCTGTGTACGGGGGTCCCCATGTGTTCCATTGTTGGCTGTGTGAACTGTGGACTGGCCAACGGTCGAGGGCTTCGCATGGTCACTAATTCTTGGAAGGCAACAGTGCCCGGACTTGTGTGGCTTCGGCATCCTAGCTACTGAAGCATGAAGGAGCTTTCCTCGTCTCTCGGGTCCGAAAAGCGCTTGAGCACCAAGACAGTTCCAATAAACGCAGCTACCGCACCGGTACTCTCCTTTCCGCTCGGCAGATGGCTTGCTGGTGCTGATCTAGTGTCTCTCTACACACTGCATGATGTACCGTATGGGTTATCTCTATGAAAATCTAAGTATTTAAAACTATGAAAAAAGTATTTGGCGACCGAGAGTCAGCACCGGTATCGGAGGGTCATGAAATGGAAGTAGAGTCGTCGTGCCCCCAGCATTCCTTGGGAATTCCAAAGGCATTTTCCATGATTTGTCCGGCTTCGAACCCATCAGTCTGGACAGGAACCAAATGATGAGATGGATGTTGTCCAACAAATTCCTTGACCCGTTGCGTTTGTCGTCGGAACAAGGCAATCTTTTCGGCATCATCCTTTTTATTGGCATTTTTAAGAAGAAGTGGATTGTCGTTGACGGAATGGAGCCACGACAGTTCATCGCGGGTATTGAGAATCCACGTGGCATTGGGGAATTGATTATGAATGTCTTGTAGAACGGTCTCTATTACATCTTCTTGCTGTGAATCATCATGGTCCCATGCTACTCCATCGTACACATCCTTCCTGTAAGGAGCCACCTCATTGGCAGCATCAACGAGACCGCATTGAAAATAGCCCTGAATAGCGGTCGATCCAACCTGGTCCAGTCCCATGACTAGGATTGGTGTGGGAAGCCGCAATTCGCTGGGCACTAGTTTGGGTATCTGACTTAATATTGACGTCGTCGTAGACTTGTGGTGCCTGGTCGGACCTGCCACACCTCCACTGAGCAGCAAGTGCTCGAGCTTATCCAAGAGATTGTCGGCAGCAGTGGGAGCCTTGCTGCTGGAAGACGCAACGACATCGACCACAGTGTAGCTCCAGTGCAAACTGCCCGAGTAAAAGCACACAAAGCAAACCACCACGAGCGACAGCAGAACCACATCCAACTTATTGCTGTCCACTCGAGTGGCGGGTCTTGACGACGATGCCATGGTCGATTGTAATAAGAATACTGAAGCGAAGCTATGGAATGGAATGGGAAAGGGCGGCTTTGAATTGACAAGATCGTCGACAAATTAATGTGCTCAAGTGAGAATGTGGCATCGGTCGAAGTTACCTGGTACACCTGTCAGGTGGCCGAACAAAAAGACGGTGGAGACTGGGAAATGGCCCACTGGATTTGTTTAGTTGATAACGTGTCCGTACCTTATTATAGGAGCCGGGGTAACACCGGTGAAATGCAAGAATGAGAAGTGACACTCTGGACGTCCTACTCATCCATGCGAAGTATCTTTTTTCGTGCCTACCGTTGCGCTCGTGTCTTTCCAAGCGGAAGATGACCGTGCAAACCATCGAGCATATCTATATCTAGCTACCGGTAGAGGTAGGGGATCTCTCCTACTAGAGAAGGAAGGGTGATGGCCTACCACCGAATGATGAATGTGAATCATCAATCGAATCTTTTTGAGCTATGCTACCGGTGCGAGATGATGCCATTCCAGAATTGACAGTCCTCTCCACTTCCAGTATCCGGAGGGTAACTTGATCTGAAGTTCCTCCACCTTTTCTAATCACACATGGTTCTGGGAAGTGGGAACATTGGGAAGCAATTGCATGGGTGGATGGATGTTCCGAAGGAATCAAATCCCTCTAGTATTCACCAGTGTTGGACTGATGAATTGGCCAAACGTAAGTTAAATGAATGAATCGAATGATTGAATCGAGGCTCTCAAGGAACAGGTCCGCTGCACCTCTTTCTACCACCCCCAAAGGAAGATGGATATGCAACCCTTGGAAGAGTATCTTTTATTAATGAAATGATGCATTCCCACAAATCCATCAAATCATTGAACCGAGCAATTGGAGCTCGTGTTGCTTGCCATGGAATGGAAAGGGGAAACGCAAAAGGGAGGATCGAGATTGTCAATGTCTCACAACTGTTGACATCAGCTCTGAAATGCCTCGAACCGTTGCTTCCAGCACTGGATGTCCCACACTGCCTGGCCCCAGGGCTGCAACCCCTACAGTACAATGGTTGGCTCCGTCAGCCCTGGATTCTTTGGACCCCGGCACTGCAGTGCCTGGCACTCCTAGCTAGCTAGCCCCAGCCAGCGCTGGGTTTCTCTCCCAACTATTGGCCCCAGCACGCACACAACTGCAATCCCTACATTGGTTGGCCCCAACACTATACTTTTCACAAGATTTCAATCCCTAAGCTCGTTCTCTGATTGTTCATGGAGATTGTTCATGGATCTTGTGATGAGGCAGCAAAAGGATCGTCTCTAACGCTCTCGTTCATTGGAAAGAGGTGCACAGACACAAAGACGACAAACAAAAAGAAAGACCGATTCTTATAATGCTTTTGAATGCTACATAAAACAGTGTGATCAATGCGGAGCCACCTCAGCGTGTCGATACCGTACGACAAGGAATGAAGAAGTGCTGGTTGTCTGTCTAACAGCAACCATAACTTTGTGGCTTGTCTCCTTCCAGTTTGATGCCTTTGACAGCCCCTTTGGTATACCCTGGTGTCATTGTTGCTGTCTTCATGTTGTTCTTGATCCGTCTCGCCATTGTCAGGAAGGCCTCTTCTACGTTCGTGCTGGTCTTGGCGGACGTCTCTAAAAAGTGCATGCCCAAGGAATCCGCCAACGCCTGGCCTTCCTCCTTGCTGACTGCTCGCTTGGACGCCATATCGGACTTGTTGCCAACTAGTAAAGTCATGACGTCTTGCTTGGCATATCGATCAATCTCTTGCAGCCACTGCTTGACATTTGTAAAGGATGTTGCATCTGTCACGTCGTACGTTACAATAATGCCATGAGCTCCACGATAGTAAGAGGAAGTAATAGTGCGGAATCGTTCTTGCCCTGCCGTGTCCCAGATTTGAAGCTTGACGACCTTGTCGTCCAGGTCCACTGTACGAATTTTCTAAGAATCGAAAAAGAAAGAGGCAATGTGTGAGAATGAGGATGCCTTGGTGATGATTCGATTATGCACCGCTCCTTGCAACGTGGAACTTACAAAGTCAACGCCAATGGTAGAAATGAAAGATTCGGTATAGGTGTCGTCTGCAAAGCGCAGCAGTAGGCATGATTTGCCAACACCCGAGTCTCCAATGAGGAGGATCTTGAAGAGATAGTCGCTGTGTTAAGGACAAAAGGAGCGAGGTTAGTTTATATGGGGCAGAGAAGGGAGGTTATCAAAACAGATACCTGATGCGCAATGCCAGACGAAGCAAACATGCAGCCAGGAAACACTAGCAAGATAATCGTGAACAGACTTACTATTCGTGGTTCATTGTATTGTTCAGGGGAGATTGGTCTCTTGCTGTTTTGTGTATTTGTGATTTGATTTTATGAGACCAACCAAAGACAGACAACGTAAAGGAAGGACTACGAAAGAACTATCCGTACGATTCATTCGGAGAAACCACGATAGGACGGGCCACGACAAGAGCTGCTTGCTGGTTCTTCTCCCACTTGGCCAGTATATCTCTTAGTCTCGACTCACTGTTAATACCTATCAGAGCGGCTCACATAAAGAAAGGAGTAAGAAAGGAGTATAGTATAGGAACAGGCCAGCTACCATACTGCAGTAGGCCCGTGGCTAGCTAGTGCATTGTAGCTCGCATGGACACCAGCAAGAGATACGGTACTAGCTAGTAGAGCAACTCCCGCAGCCATTCCCGCAACCAGACATGTGCTCCAGTGTTTCGATATGTTCCCCGCAAAGCAACGGGAACTGTGATCCACACCACAAGACCACCAAACATGATAAAACAACAAGAACGACAACAGCAACCCTCAATCACTGCCGACGTGGCCAGTCAGCACCCACTGTGGCATCAAGAAGATATCTGGGTGAATGACATTCTTCCCTTCCTTGGGATGGGCCATTTTGCCTTTGTGGCGGCTGTGAACCGAAAAATGAAACATCTCTACACTACTTACTGCCATTCGGAGGAGAACCCTCCAATGGTTAACTGCAGCGATGGAGAGCAGCTCTTGGGAATTGCTTTCCGCAAATTCTACAGTTCAGTGTTTTGCACAGTGCCATTTGCCGGGTACTGGTACAGCTATGCCAAGTTGAACGAAATATCTCCTCCTGATGTTTGTGAACAGGCTGCCAGAGCTGGTAGTATTCCTGTTCTGCAATGGGCCCATGAAAAGGGGTTTTCTTGGAATCATGCATGCACAGAGGCAGCCAAAAGTGGCCATTTGAAAGTTCTGGAGTATCTACATGAAAATGGATGCTTTTGGGACGAAGACGCTTGCTCAAGTGCAGCATCAAATGGGCACTTGGCACTCCTCAAGTATGCATATAAGAATGGGTGTCCATGGGATGAAAACACTTGCCATAATGCTGCAAGGAATGGTCATTTATCAGTCCTCAGGTATGCACAGAGAAAAGGCTGCCCATGGAACAAGGACACGAGCTACTACGCTGCAATGGGTGGCCGCTTGCATGCCATTCAATGGCTCCACCAACATGGGTGTCCATGGGATGAGGGAACCTGTAAATCTGCTGCAAAAGCTGGCCATTTGGAAATCCTGAAGTATGCTCATGAGAATGGCTGTCCTTGGGATGCAATGACTTGCAATCTTGCTGCTAAATGTGGCCATCTGGAGGCACTAAAATATGCCCACAAAAATGGATGTCCATGGGATGAAGAGGCATGTGCCCTTGCTGCAGGGAGTGGTCATTTGGAAATCCTGAAGTATCTGCACAAGAATGGCAGTCCCTGGGATGAAAGGACATGCAGCAGTGCTGCTCAAAATGGCCAGCTTGGAATTTTGCAATATGCCCATGAGAATGGCTGTCCGTGGGATGGGACGACATGTGCAGCAGCAGCGGGGATTGGCCATTTGGAAATACTCAAGTACGCTCATGAAAAAGGCTGCCATTGGAGCAGTTTTGCATGTGACAGAGCTGCTGGAAATGGTCACTTGGATGTGCTCATGTATCTCCATGAAAATGGATGTCCTTGGGATGAAGGAACATGCAGCTCTGCCACAAGAAGTGGTCATTTGGAAATCATAAACTATTCTTACGAGAATGGTTGTCCATGGAATGTCTATGCATGCATGAACGCTGCAGCAGGCGGTCATTTGGAAGTCCTAATGTATGCTCATGAAAATGGCTGTCCTTGGGATGAAATCACGTGCTGGTTTGCTGCCTACAATGGCCATTTGGATGTTCTATGGTTATGCCCACAATTCTGGGTGTCCATGGGACGAAAGCACATGCACCCATGCTGCTAGAAATGGGCACTTGGAAGTGCTAAAATATGCAATTGAAAACAACTGCCCATGGAATGAGGGTGCTGTGCTGAGAAGCAGGAGTCTGGCGATAAGGGCTTGGGTTCGAGACTTTATCAACCAGAGGGACAGCTAGCTAGAACTCATTTGCCATAATTTTAAAATGTGGCTTGAGAAGAATCGAATCTGTTTAGCCATCACCAAGGCCCATTGAACACAATGCGCCTCAGCCGCTTCCGTCTGTTGGACTGTTGTGTAATGCGATGCCAGATCTTGGGTTCGACTGACGTCGGCAAGAGGGCATCTGAGCATGTTCGACAAACAGAAACTCTAATCAAAGTGCCGTTGCAGGTATCTGCATACATGCCAACCGTTACTTGTCACGCAAGAGCCCAATTTTGTCGTCACTTTTTCGTCGAAATGCAAAAAATTCGGGCTGCCAGGCTTTCCTCGCCCAAACGTCCAAGGGAAAGCAGCGGTGGAGCTAGTCTACCATGAGACAACTGATTGTTCTCCTCGTTCTCTTCGCTATTGACTTGCTGGAGTGATCCCTATTGACTGGTAGCATTCGAAGCCGGAAGCAAGGAAGGAGGTTCTAGGCCGGGAGATAGCGCTTCTGGTGGGGCAACTCAGTTCCTCTTTTGGAAGCACTGACTAGACAAGCTAGCCCATCCATCTGCCATCACCATGTCCGAGGACGGCTACGAGCTCTTCGACACAGCACACATGTCCGTGACGGAGCGTCTTATTGCCTGTTTGCGCAATGAGACCATGACGGATGTAGCCTTGGTGGGAGATGATGGAATACCGGTTCCTGCCGCACGGTATATCTTGGGGAGTGCCAGCGCTGCCTTTCAGCCCTTGCTCTACGGGAATTCCAACCGAGACGGGAACTCGTCGACGGTCAACATTCGAGAGTCCAATCAAAAGAGCTTGACAGCTTTGGTGGAGTTTTGTTGCTCGGATGAACTGAATACGTCTATTTGGGCAGACTCACATCCACTCGAGATAGTTCAAGATACAGTAGCCCTGGCCAAATTGGGTCATACATACGGTGTTCCAACACTACAAATGAGAGTCAAAGAATTTCTCAATCCACTCATGCTGGCATATCCTCCATTGGCATGCTCAGTCTTTAACTTGGCAGACAGTATTGCTACCCCGGATGTCTATGCGGCGTCCCTAGTGATTCTCCAAGAACAGGCCTATACAGCCTTGAAATGCAACAATACCAACAGCAGTAGCAGCAGCAAAGAGGGCAAGGGTGGCAATAAAGGGACGGTGGGGACAATGACCTGCTTCACACCCAGCAAACTGGAAGACATCCTATCGGATAATGACATTGACGCTGATGAACTTTTCCTCTTTCAACAGCTCGTGGCATGGAGAGATCATAACGACTACAAATTCACCAATGCAAACGGAATTTGCAAATCTCTTGTACGTCACTTGGACTTGTCATCCATTGACCCCAACGCCATTGAAACAGTTGTCATGCAGTCAGGATTCGTCACTGCCGAAATGCTGGTCAAGGCATTAATGGCACAGGCCAAAAGCGCTACCCACGAAGGTCTGGCCTTTGCTTCCATTCGTGGCCCAAGAGGGAAAAAGTATGCTCATGTCTTGGTGCAGGGGGCGGGAGATGCCGAATGCAATGGTGTTTATGTGCATGTCAAACGAGACAAGGCCAAGAATTCTTCTGGCGGAACCCCGCCCACGGGACGAAACCTCTTGTACTTTATCAAGAAACCGTCCACCGGGAACGCTACACCAGGCCAGCCCATAATGCCCGCTACAAACAAGACATTTGTAATGGTTCAGGATAGCGCAGGTATTTGGCGTATCTGCGATTCCGACAAGAGTATTCTCTACGAATGTCGAAGCCCTTCCAACGGCGCCGAAGACTTCCCCCACACGGGTTGGTCAGCCGTGTCAGGAGAACTGCCCGCGCCTGAATGCAGCTGGCTGAGGCCTCACAGCAATGTTTCTGGATCTCATCATCAGGGACCGGCTCCGAGGTCATCCGCAGAGTATTCGCGAACATCGTTAGACTTTCAACTGAGCGATGACGAGGAACCAGATCCAATCTTTCAATCTAGATCTATTGACGATACCCCACGAAACGAGAAGGTCAAACCTGTGATTGACTATGGGAAGGCTAGCGCCAGTGCTGGGCCAAAAAAGGGCTTACTGGTAGCTGAAGAAAAGAAGGAAGCACCGGAAGATCTTTCAAAACAAAATGGAGCCAAGCACAAGTCAGCAAGAATAACGGGATTGGATGGCAGCACATCGGATCGAAAACATGCTGCAAAGCAGAACCAAAAGATAAGAATGAATCGAAAGTCATCTCTCGTGGACGAAGTAACAGACGAGATTGATCCAAATGATCCTATCCTAGGGACTACGATCGGTGGTGATGGATTCTCGCCAGAAGACAAGAAGGACCTGAGTGAGCCAGTCCAGACTATGCCAAGGAATCGGTATAAACTGTATGATGCAGCAGCCGCAGCGAGGGAAACGTCTGCAAACATAAGTAGCCCAACGGCCTGCATGCCAAACTCGAGTGGGGCACCTGTACTCGTGGGATGCTCGAGTGCTCTCAAGTCGACGTCTGGATTAACTTAGGGACCTGAGTTGGCTACAGACAGCCAAGAAATCAAGTTCGATGCGAAGTTTCCTTCGCTGCTGCATGGCCCTGGTCGAAGCAACCAGGCGGGCAGGATGGTAGCAAACGAGGCTATGCATCAAGGCTCGTCGGAGACGACGCTACAAGAGAGCACCAAGAGAAAAGGATCCGCCGTTGCATGTAAAGTAGGAGGCCTGATCATAGCAAGAGAACTTTGTGATCAACGTAGTCACCTTTAGATCATAGAGCGCATGGTGTGCGATGTTCGAGGGCTGACTCGTCACTCATCGGCCTGCCGACTAGTAACTTTCACAGCTGCCCCGCCCTTCTTCCTTCGTGCAGGAAGAAGTTTGGATGACGCTTATCCTACGGCTGTACTTTGCCAATCGAACGAACCTGAGAATGAAGATGACAGAGGGCGACAACGTACTTTGGACGAACGAAGAAAAGCCCATCAAAGTCACTGCTATTCCCTTGCATTCTTGGCCGGTTGCTTCAGCCACCGGCAGTGAGGGAAGAAGCAGGAACAACTATTAATAGCCAAAGAGGAATCGCAATTACGAAAGCCGAGTTTCTGATTGCCTCTGCAACAGCTCAGAGAGCTCTGTAAAAACTACGGGAGGGTCTTGTCCTGTCCTGCCGGACGCTGAGGATTTTAACGGGATCCGGGACATGGAAGCTACCGGTATTTGGGGATTCTGCCTCTCCAGCCGGGCGTAGCTAGTTAGTCTCCGGTAAGCTAGCTAGTGGCCAAGCGCATCCTTCTCTGTTCCTGGGTGACTTTTGCCGGAACCCTAACCCTCCCTCTGGTACGCAGCCCTGTGGGGCTCCCCCTGGGTTTCCGGAAACATCCCAAACATGCCTCCTCTAACTGCCAGTACTAATAGGGACTGGCCTGAGCAGCTCAAATCAGTCCCTAGTTACCGGTTGGCTCCTTTGCCGCCATGCCTGGCTCTGAGAGCATGGTGGCCCCCCCTGACAGTAACAAATAAGTGCACCGGAGCATTCAAAAATGAACCACCAGGCCTGTTGTTGCTGCATGGTGGCATGGTAGTGCTGATGCCATCATAGTGTCTCTATTGATACAATTAACCAATCTTTCTTGCTGTCATCCATAGTATTAGTAGAAGATGAGTGGTCTTCCTGATCTTGCCAGAGCTAGGGAAGAAAATGCTGCTGCTAGAGAGCTAACGGATAGTATCCCCCAAATTCTGGTCGATGACAATGGCGACCCAATCAATGAGGGAGACGATGCTGATGAAATCTCACAGCCAGAGTTGACTGATGGCAGGAGCCAAGCAAATCCAAAACCAAAGTATCAGAAAGAAGTCGGGCTTCAAAAAGCAAAGATGGTTGATTTGTACACTGGCATGAGACAGGCAGATATATGTACCGAGTCCACTGAAGATTACTTTGGTCAATCTGGCCTCGATGGCACTTCTTCTCTGAATCGATAGTCTCGAATAGGGAACCATGGGAAGTCACATTTGGCTTGCGGCTGTACGACCAGCGGAAATCGGCAGATATTCAAAACTCCAACCTGTATGACAAGGAACTACGGTGCAATTCTTCCAGTGGCTTATGGAAGAGTGTGGTGGCTGCAAATCAGTCATGGCTAAAGCAAAGACCTTTCTCAATACTAATATCAAATGCGAGCATTACTGCCGCCTAGTCGAAGCTGGATTTGCTGGTATTCTGGAGCAAATCAAAGTTGGCGAGTCACTGTCAATCCAGAACTCTTGCAAAGCAGTACAGAGTCAAGCTGCATCAGGGTTCTTAACAATTGTGAGGATATACAGGCTCAGCTACAGCAATGGGTGTCCTTGGATCAGATACGAGAGATGGCACTGTCAGCATTCAATCCTAAGGCCGGTGGTCCGGTATCTAAGCTGAAACCCAGCAATGCGATCTATTTTATGTGCACTATCACACAATGAGTGCCACTACCGAAGAAGTGAAGAGTTTGTTGGACAAAGAATGATTCAACGAGCCTCAAGTTCATGGAGCTATTGGTCCATCCGGTATTGGAGCATCTCAGATTGTGACTAACAAGGCAAAGCACAACAAGGTTGGGTGGCTAGAGTATACTGTAGCCATCCCACACAGAGATCCATTGAGAGATTCCAGCAGCTGGCATGGTCTCCTTTTTCTCTGGCAGCTGATAGTGGAGAAAAGGAGACTGCCTGATTTGTCCAGCAATAACTACAAAGCTATCTTTGATGTATTAACGTATCCATCATCAGAGGACGCAGACAAGACTGTCTCATCTCGACAAGTCGCTGCCAACTTCGGAAGCTTCTACTCGGAAGCTGATGTGATATGTGCAAAGGTCACACATCAGCCACGTTTCCAATCGATCCAGCAAATGATATGCTTGGCATTCCAGAACCTGTCCAGTGTCGAATGACTGGGCACAAAGGGAAGGGTCAAACCGTCCATCAAAGAAGCTATGCCAACAACCCACCCACTGCTGGTATCGTCCAAAGGGCAGGCGGTGACCACCACTACCCCCAACAGTACAGTACTACTCCATTCCAGCTTACAGCGCAAGAAAAGGTGTGGGTCAATGAGATCCGATGTGCTCTTATTCCAGAGATCGAAGAGTGGTACAAAACAATCTGCAGGGATTTTGACTCTGCTACTTCAGCAGCTGCAAGGACATCGAAGCGGTTGTACACCAAAAAAGGAATGGTGGCTTCTATTCGATGGGATGTGGAAAGCTGTATCGTAATGCTAGCTACACCGGAGCTGCACCCAAAAACCTTTAAACTACTGCCCAACTCCAACCTGAGTGTCTTTCAACGATACCGGAACGACAGATTTGCTGTTCTGTTAAACCACTCAGCATTCAATCTACCAGTATTCTCACTGCTGGAGCAGTCAATTCTCAGTCGACTCAAAGCCAAGGACACAATCAACTCCATGTTCAGTGTTGAGAATCCAGATAATGTATCCAACATGGAACAGTTGCTAGTCCAGTATGTCAGCCGCCCCCTTATGCAAATGCAACAGGAGCAACAGGCAGCTTTCTCAGAAATGCGACAAATGCAGAATCATTCCAGTTCCTTCGCAGCAGCCAGCAGGAGACCTACTACAGAGCAGGGAAGTGTTGCCATTACTCCTTCCCCCACATCTGCCAGCAAAAGAAACAGCAGCACCTTAGCTGATGGAGTAACTGCAAGGAAACGACGACCACCAGTGAAACAGCATGAGTCCATATCTCAAGAGCTCAGAAACCGGACAAGCAATGGTGAGACCAGGAAGCGTCAAGCTGAGATGGTTGTTCTATGTGACAATGACTGCAATACTTTCGAACAGCACTGGAAACACTACTGCAAGCACTATCGACAATTAGAAAAAGAAACCGGTGGTCGTTGGAGGCAGGATTTGGGTGGGCGCCAGAGGACACAGTGGTGGACACAGCGAAGTGGCATGTATCGATTGATGGAGCACTATCTTGAATCTGGACTTACAGAAGAGGAAGCATTGGAAAAGTGCTCCGCAATATACGACTCGATAGAGAAGGGAAAACGAGCCAAGAAGCCAAGGGTTAAGGCCATCGACAAAGCATTCAAAGCCAAGTTGGCGGAATTGGGAATCAAACCAAAGGGTAGGCCCAAAGGCAAACAATCCACCACTCCTGCTAAGCAATGTACCGGAGCCGTAGCGCCAGACACAAATGAACCTGACCAAACCACAAGGAGGAGAACAGCTGCTAGGAGAACTTCACCGGAAACCACAGAGGATCAATTTGGGGAGGTATTTGGAGCAATTGTTGACCAGAATCCCTTCACTCGACAAATATTTGATGAGTGCGATGTCTTTAAGGGCTCCAAGCCAGCATGATTCAAAAGCTTTTTGCCATAAGGACCAAAGACAGGCCAATAGGCTACTTGAATAGGCCCTGTATCATCCGCCCGAACGACAAAGTCTTTCCCAAACTGTGCTTCCTCAGCCAGGAATCCACCAGTGATCGAATCTCTGGTTAATTTGAAAGAATCATTGTTGTAGTCGTTGACTAATTTAGTCAATCTAATGTTTAGAGTTTTTGGCATGGCTTCATTCCATCCATCCAGTTTTGAAGGATCACAATCTCCCCAGTGAGGTCTGTTTTCCTGGAGAGCATCTTCCATGGACAAAACAATTAACTTTGAATCCGGCAATTGGCCAAAGGTCGCTGTACTCTTCACGAGTGCATCCATGTTGCGACATTTAGTCGAGAACCTTCTCCATGTTTCATCATTTGCCTGATCCTCTGTGGATTGTATGGCAGTTGTGGTTGTAGTGATATCAGTAGCTGGCGTGGCTGTAGTAGCAGTAGCAGTACTAGCTGTGGTAGTAGTAGCCATGGTGATTTTGGTTTTGGCATTCTTGGAAGTAGCACCATCCTTTCCTCTGTTTCGTACACGGCCTCTCAGAGTTCCATATTTGCTACTGAGCCCATGTATTTCACAGAATTCTTTGAACTTTCTTCTGGGAAATTCTTGCTGAAAAGACGACCACTCGGTATAGATCGCCTCAAATGCCTCATGAGTAATATGCTTTCCAGATCTCTTGGCCTTGGTTGAAACAATTGAATTGACAGCAGCTTGGATATTCATGACAATGGTTTCAAGGCTGGGGACTTGGGTGGACTGATGCGATCTGAGGAAAAGCTCAATGATTTCATTCTGAGTTCCTGAGCAAGGTGTGGCAGTATGCTCTTCCAGCCCATCAAAAATGATGAGCTTTTTCAGGAAAGCTCATCCAAAATGATGAGCTGACTCCCAGCATAGACAGTACTGATTCCTACCAAGCTGGGATGGACTGTCATTGGTTTGTATTGGACTCGGTGGAGTAGTAGTACCCTCTGTGATGGAAGAAGAGCTTTTGGCGGTAGATCTGCTGCTGTGGCGAATTTGGATCTTTTGAAGGGCTTCTGAGTCCATTTGGCCACTTTGGGGCCACTGTGGGACTTTTTTCTATATTGGTGGTTATGCCCGGTTAGGCCCAGGTGAGGTCAGGGGTTCAATTTTGGCTGTTTTTGCTTTTTTTAAAAACTTTTTTTGGACTTTGCTCTGAATACCAGATCAGATATAACAAGTTAAAAAGCCCTTAATGCTTAGTACATTGGTATCTTTTGGTGCCTGTTTTTGTTGTTTTGGGCTTCGGCAGCAGCAACCACCATGATACCAGCTCCCAATCCAGAGCCATGTTGTCGACCCACTATGAACTAAGTATTGGGAATGAAATACATAAAAAGGGACTAGTTTTAGACTACTAAAGGTGTCCTTGATGGGTGGCCAAACTGATACCGAAAGGGGTACTTTCAGGGGTCAATTCTGAAGAAGTCGCCCTCGCGGACAGCTGAAAAAGTCGGCGTCTATTGCTGCGCCGACTTTGTCAGTTTCAGCTGTCCACTAGGGCCTACTATAAGGATACACTTGCACCTGGGTCCTTCCCTCACAGGAACCCTCATTGTCCAGTAGCTTCAATACCACCAATTTCACAACCTGGCTGTCATCATGGTAGACCAACCGGTTCATTCCATCCAGCACAAACTTCAGCATATTGTCAATGTCAGGAATGATGGGTCTCACAAAAGGAACTGAATTCTTGAGAATGCCCATCAATCTCCTACTGCCTTTGAAGTCAGTATTGGGTCTCCTCATCCAGAAGTGCACCTCCACAGTTACCGGCACACCAGTAGGGAACACCACTCCACTGGCTGTAGCTGGAACCAGATCTTTCACTGCTTGCCTGAATGATTGCTTCTCTTTACTTCCTGGATGGTACAGACCATACTTGCCCAATCTCATCCTCTTCTCAGGCAATGGCTTGCCTGGGACTTCAAAGCTGATCCTCACGGGCTCTTCTGTCAAGTCAACCACTTCCGGCATGGCTGCTTTGTTGTGATGGTTGCACAAACATGTTCAGTCTGTTTTGGGATAACACCGAACAGCCTTTGGGAGATCTTCTGTAGCTACAGAGGAGCCATTCGGTGGGGTTGGGATGACTTTTATTGTGCATTCAAAATGTTTGCCGAAAGAATGGGATAACTTCCCACAGCCACAACACTGCATGGCACTAGCAAAGGAAAGTTTGCCAGAAGGCTCTTCGGCAGCACTGAACTGCCTGGGAAGGAACAGTGTGGAACATCTCTGCTGACAGGTGTTGTTCTTTTTGGTGATGTTGGGGGATGCCGGGACTATGTATTTAAGGGGGAGTGGAGCATGCATAGGCAGGCTATGCTGGCAGCATAAGTACAAGCTGCCGGTGCTCTATCAAGCTCCCTGGCTTGGTCCCAGACTTGGAGCCAAAGCACACCGGTTATATAATATCTACATGATGAATACCTTAAAAACCAGAATGTCACCCCAACTGTTACTAGAGCCACCTTCTTGCTTGTCTGGTGGCCTTTTTCAAATTGAGCTGCTAGCGAGTAGGTTGACGTGGACTGCTTTGACTTGGTCTGAGAAATGTCCCTGACGCTCCTCAAATCCCCAGCATTCGCAGCCAACCAAGAAACCCTTTGGACTACATGTACCCATGTACCCTACGGTTGGGTTTCCTTGCCGGTCTTGTGTGTGGCTCTTTGAGTTCTGAGTTTGCAGGCCTGGAAACTCCATAAACAATGGTCAAAGTCATCGACTGGGCAAGTTTTGATACTACCGGTATCGTACTGTCACCTACCGGTATTCACATGCACTCCATTGGCATGCTGCCACTCTTTAGAAAGGTACTAGTACCTGGTACCAGGTATTAGTACTCAGAAGCAAACGGAGGCCTTGACCTTGGGAGCTTCCAGCGCTGAGGTGGCTGTCCTTCAGCCCTTCGGCAGAGAGTGTTTACATGTACCGGTATCTGACGGCGTATTAGGACGAGTTTGCCCGGTAGCGGTACTGGAGTGGCTTCCAATTACCAGTAACGGTATAAGTCAGTCGATGCATTTATTTTATACTCCAGAGTAACAATTAGTACTATCGATTGAGACATTCACCAGAACGTCTTCAGATCATTCCTGTTGGAATTTCCGTCTAGAAAAGAAGCGGTACTGACAACTGACCTGATTGACTTTTTGATAGTACAGTGTACCTGGTAGTGGATCCGGAATCGAATCGGAATACATTGAAGATTCGCACCTTGAGATCTGCGGGTACAAGTATTAATACCTGCCACCTGCCAGTGGCAGACCACACTGCCACTAGTAGACTGGTAGCTAGCCAGGCGCTATGATATGCATACCGATTACCGATACCGGTCCACCAACCACAGGCCTTGAGAAGCCAAGGAATTATGTTGCGTTTGGCGGAGTCCAAAACCAGCAAGTGGTCATTGGACAATTCTCACTGGGCATTGTCGTGACAAGTCGATCTTGTTCTTGCACTTCAAGGACACTCCGGAAAACTAATAATTATTAAATAAGTAAAAGTTCATTCTAGAAACAAAACCCTAATAATTCTCTGGTGTTCTGGTGTTCTGGTTCTGTCGCCTAATCGAGTAGCTACTAAGTAGACTAGTAGAAAGAATGTGTGCTCGTCATCACTTTTCCGGCTTGGAACGTGCCTTGAGATTTATCATTCTTCATGGATGCTATTGAACCTGCTGAAGGCATTAAGAGTCAATAGAAAGCATATTAAAACACACAATTACTGATGCGACTCGGAGTATTCTGATTCAATGTATGTGTTAAAGACTCTCCGATATACTAACCAGTCAAACCAAATAAATAAGCAGCGTTCGTTCGCTCCTTGGCCATTTTGAAAGAAGTCTTAGAGCAAGTTCACGGCCGCTAGCTGCCGCCACAGCATGCAGAATTCTTCCGAAGGCTATTATGACTATGCACAAATTCGGGGGATGCTCGATTTAGGTGGCACAAGTCAGTTTCTGATGAACAGGATGGAAAGGACAAAGAAAGGAGCCAGAAGCTGGTGACACTTTTCTGGATGTATTCTTGCGGACGAGTATGGTACCAGACCTACGCAGAGTCTACGAGAAGCAAAAACCGAACGAGTACCCGTATGGCTGAAATTATCTCCAATCTTGTTCATCTACTAGTATCTCTGCCAGAAGCTCACAATTCTTCGCGAGCCTCAAGCCAACCGACTGCAAAGCTTTCGAGAACCCCAAACTATCATCTCAACCAAACTTTCAACTTTCCACCATGAGCAGCCTCTCTCAGCACAAACCAGCTCTTGCCGACAACTTCAAGCCCGGACACTATGATGTCGTGGTTGGCAAAGGCAAGAAGTTCTACACGCACAAAGGTAATGTCATGTTGCGGGACCTTGTTGCATCCATGTTGGGAGAGTATTCCAAGGCAACCTCCAAGGCTGGCAAGTCCGATATCATCAGCAGCGTGGTTAAACGTATCAATGCAATTGGAAACTTTGTCAGGCGAGAGCCGGCGGCAGGCAAGTGGATCTACGCGGAAGACCGATTGTGCCGCGAAAAGTGCTCCCAGACTTTCAGGGACGCCTTGTGTGACATCTACCGATCGTCCAGCGTTGCCAAGAAGAACCGACGTCGCCGCGAGCAAGAAGAGATGTCTCAAGAATCCAGCTCTCCTCTTCCCATGAAGAAGAAGATGAGATTGATGGAACCTTCCCCCGTCGTCCCTCCTATTCCTTCCGACTTCTTCAACTTCGAGACAGATTTGATCTTCTCTGCTGCACCCACGGGTACCGGTACATCACTTCCTCCTCCGAAAGAAGATAACCTTGTAACGGTCTTGTCGGACTTGCTGAATCTTCCCTCCGTCGACGAAGATAGCAGCAATCCCTTTGAGCCTACGCCCTTTATGCCAAGTGCAAAGGACATCGAGAACTCGTTGGCTCTCGTTGCGGACGATATCTTCAACGATAACTTCTTCGAGACAACCGTGGCTTTCTCTTCGAATCCCGAGAATGGCGAAATGGACAACTTCACTACCTTCGGGACGACCACTAATGACTTCCAATCTGCGCAATGTCGCGTCGTCTCCCCGAACTTTGCTGCTGCGTATGCGGCCTAAGCATCCAGGAACCACTCTCTTGAGTGAATGAATATACCCAGATAGTATATAATAGACATATGTATAGACCACTTAGTTTTCTGATGATCTGCATACAGTACCGGTAGCCTGCAATCAACATTGCTCATTCGAAGCACCGTATCTAGCCAACTTACTTGTTGTAGATAGGGCGAGATGCAAAGAATGGAGAGCCGGGAAAGGCACAGCTTCTGTGAAAAGTTGAGAGTGTAGGTTCGGTTCGATCGAATGGCGGTACAGTACCGGTTGGCCAGGTGGCGGATACATTCATGTATCGTGCCAACCGCAGCGAGAACTGCTGCTCTGCCGAATTAATGAGCCAAACATTATCTCCTGGGTAGTGTCACGCTCCTCCTCGACGCTGGACTTGATCAACAAACTGCAGCTTGCTAGCCCTACATGCACAATCATGGAGAGCCTGATCATAATGGTAACAAGCCGTTTGTATTCGCCCAAAGATACGGGTTGCTTCTGCCTGGAGCCTTGGGCAAGACTCTGAGTCTAGCCAAGCGATCCTAACATATGCGAGCAAAGTGAAGTACATTGGATTCACAGCGTTCTTCATCAGCTCCCTCTGTCAATCTGGGCCAACAATAAAGTCATCTCCAGCTTGCAGCAATAAATCAGTTGCATTCAAGGTTTTGCATTCTTCTTGTTGCGGAGGGTGAATGTAGTTCCTAGCAGAGTTAGGCAAGAGAAGTGAGCCTCGAGCACAACGAAAGATTTCATCGCCGCCGCGGGTGCCGACGATCGCGTAATACGGAAATCTAACGGTGGACCCACACAACCCTGAGTGTTCAAGTTTTGCACGACGACCGGTACCACCTCAGCTATCTAGTAGACTACAGGTACGAGATGTATCTAGATGGGACCTATCGAAGCTGGGTAGGTGCCGGGGTAGGCACCAGCACAATCGCCCGCGTATCAGTAGACCGTGCAGAAAGCAGGAGTAAGTGATCC